TCAGCACTTATTGTACTTTTGGGCAAAATACACTCGTCCTTATGGTGCAAAGCATTTTCACAACATAGCCAATGTTAGTTTCTGACGGGAGCTCTAACCTTATACCATTAATCTTCACCGTAAATACTTAATCCTAACTAGGAACAATATGAGGGCTTTTCGTAATATATTTTAGTTCTTTTAAGTGCCTGAGTGGACAAACAATCTCTATATATAAGGACGAATTTCTATGTCGTAACTTATAGAAGACACTGATAGATTTTTAATTCTGTAAAATCTGTTCACACTGTAATATTATTGCTCTCTTTCCCATAAACAATCACTTTATAAGGGCTGTCTTTTGATCGACTAGAGACTAACTACCATACTTTACCGATTTTACAAATAGTTCTAAATACCGTTCGATTGCATACTTAATTACAATGTTACTAAACGATTTATAAACTCAACCTGGACTAATTACAAGACGCGTCGCTAGACCCAATCGAATTACTGTTTATAATAATATCGATTGGTTTTCATTAAATGAAATTAAATAAATTGTTTGATTTTTTATTTTTGAGTGGTTCCCACATCCAATAATACAATGGATTTATATATTCAAAATTAAACCATACTTTCTGAGTGAGGTTTATTCATATTAAAAAGCTACACAAAACAGTTATAAGTCGAGATCTGTTCTAATGTGGAATATAAGTGCCTTAAACATAAAACCACTGCCATTGTTTTTTAATCATAAATGTGTTCTACATAGAAAATGAGTATTTCTCAATCCTACAGGTGACTAGTCATAGTCCAATTGGGTCACTGGTAATGTTTGTGACCGTGATACTTGTTGAAGAGTGCTCGTATCTTACAGAGAGTATTAGTTTCATCAATATTTTAGAAAAATTCAGTTGAAACTTGCCAGCCATCATGAAAACTTAAAGTTATAGCTTTATGTCAGCTACCTTCAGCTATCTAACACATAAACGCAAAAGTCTTAAGAAGAAAGATTGTTGCTGAAAAAGGGTGGGTTTAGAAACCCCGAAAATCTCTATACTTATCATTAAAGCCATTTAACACAACAACAAAAGAATACAAGTTAATTATTACTTAAAATCCAAGTTGTAGTTGCTGGTCATCCCCTCCATATGCTTCTATGTAAGGATTAGTTAGTTGCTAGCTTTATGTTGTCACATGTTCTTGTATCAATCCTTGTGGACGACGACAGACACAAATTTGACTGGGAAAAAGTCGAAATATTGGGTAGTATGAAGAAAATCAGTAAACCTATAGAAGCCTGTCTCTAATATCACTCACCAACCAACAGATATCCAAAATACTCTCAAAGTCTTCAGTAATAAGAAATATGATGAAAAATTATAAAATTATAATGGAAATATTGAGAGTAAGTGTGTGAACAATGACAACCCTGATTATAAATAAAAACAGAGAAATCCCATTTCGATAGTTTAAGCTTTCAGTCAATTGTATAGAATTGTTAATATTCGTTGATAATGTTGCCTACAAAAAGATGAAAGCTTCATGAGTAAACCATTCAGAATAGAAGATACCATATCTCTAATATTCTATTGAGGGACATAAAAATGTACTCAGTAAATGAATTACTGAATAATAATGTTAACAAAATAATGACAGGAGTTAACTTTAATTTTTATACATTTGATATTATTATTTTTCATTTAAATTGATTCATACAAGTTTCTAGTCCTAGGACTAATTGATACTTTATTTAATTAGTTAAATGTACATCATTGTTATGACTTTAAACTAGGTTAATTATCATGTGGTTTATTGACAATCGAAATGCCATCCATACAACCTTAGTACTGTGCCAAACCAATGAAGTCCGACCGGTTCGAGCAGCCTAACTTCCTTATTGGTCCATTGTCCTCCTAGCCTTTTCAGTGGAGTCTAGAACGCCAATAACAGCTTCGGTTATACGAATCATCTATGGGCATCAATGAATATCATGTTAATTGTCTAGATTTTAAGCGCCCGTCGTGAGACTTGAAGATCATGTGCTCATTAAGCAGTAGATATTAGATACATAACATTTAGTGGTCAAGTACTGGAACGAGAGAATCGATCTCAAATTTTATTTGGTTTCTTATTGAACAAAATAAAGACGGTTCAGAGAAAACATTTTTCTGATAATGTAATTTGCTTAACCTATACACTCGTATTTGCAGTTAATTCTACACAGATAATAGTTTACAATAAAATAGAGATGTTATGTTATTGAACAATTTGATAGAGAGTTTTCAAACTCTGAATATAAATTACGAAACAGTTCTGCATAAAATAAGAGACAATTGTTTATATTTAAATGTAAGAGATAAGTTTCTACTTTATGAATATAAAGTGTGGTATAAGACAGTAATTGCCAGATAACAATTTTTGTTAGTATTGGTGATCTGTGGAGATGATAGAATCTTCAGTTTTAAATCACGAACTGATCTTAACTAGAACACCACTGGAAACCAGGGTACACTGAACAGTTCTCTCGCCCTAGTATGGAGCTCCTCAGAAGTGCGCATCCAAGACTCCGCAACCGGATATCGGATACAGGACCTCAGTTTTGCACGCGAATTCGTACCCTCTAAACCTCTGAACCTGAATTTAGACGAAGTGAATTCAGTGGGAAATAATGGCACTATAGGTCTGATACTCTTTGTTCTTACAAATTCTTCTGGAATTTTCAAACTGATGAATAATATCTGTAAAAAAAGAATGACTAGGAATTTTGAGGAATTATCAGAATACTTGAATTCAGTGATTGTTCATAAACTTAAAAGGCACAGGGACACCAAGAATGCAACATTTTGAATCAGAGAGAACATCGGCATTTATTGGAATGCAAGGATACTCTACCAATTGAAGTGCCTAGTAGATGTGGCGGTGAGTCCATAAATCCAAATGATTTTTTTTATTTTTTCAAGTTAAAATATACACATTTTTTATTTTTGTGTCCTGTGATTTGTAATGTTTGGGGACATACCCTTTATTGATGTGTATGAATCAACATCTTACGTGGAAATGTAAGCAGCCAGTCTAGTGGATTAGCGAACTTAGGTTATAACAACTTTATGTACCCTTAAAAAGATTTCTTATTTGTCACGATGCAGTTATTTCATTTCTAAGTCAGTTTTCTTAATAATTTGCAGAAGTCTCTGAAAATTATGCTTTTTATATAATTCATCATTAAACGTTTTATCATTTCTTCATGTCCTGTGATGTCAACCAGATGTTCCACTAATCAATCCATGATTGGGTCCTTCTTAATTTTTAGTTAAATAGTGACAACTTAAGGACGATGCTTGTCTACAATTTTCTCAAATCTAAATGTTTTGCTTGGATCATGTGCACAGACAATTTACCTTAATCCAGTTCGTAAAAAGTTATTCGAACAGAGAATTGAAGACTAGAAAACCCAAGTCACTCCATATGTTTAATATTTTCATAAATGTATTTAGTCTATTATTGTTCATCACAAAAATACTTGGTAACTCAAATGGTGTATTTTGTGAACAAATAACAATATTCATTTTCTATTCTCTGGTAAATCTTCACTAAATATAGTTTATCGTTTGCTTTGCATGTCCTCTTCCCCAGTTTATTTTGAACAATATTATCGTTTGTTTGCCGATAACTGACTGATCTAGCATAGGAACCCATACACTTCATATTTCAATTTATTCACTTTAAACATTATGTTATGGCTTTTTTAAAAGTATTTCAGGTTTAAATTCACTTGCTATGGTTTGTTTGAATCTTCTGATTGATGTTTAGGACTGCAATTGATCAGTCTCATATCGGCATATGTGCAAACTGTGTGTATTGCCTCGATATAGCCTTAATTCACAAGCAGTATATGTGAACGGTACTGAGTTCGAATCCCAGAGTGACTATCAACTCTGAATGCAGGCATATCCAGCTGAAAAGTCCTGGATTGCACTGTTAGCCACTATCCATATTTCCATATAATGTTTTAGGTTTATATTATTCTTCGCCATTGAGAGTTAGTTAATGCTTTAACGTCTGATGTCAACACAATTTAGTTCAGTATGAATTATTGTCAGAACAATCAAATTTTGGTTATTCAGTGTTGACAAACTTATTCAGCAATACTAGTTGTTAAATTAGATGATACCATAAGTGCACTTGTCTCACGTTAAATTTATCTGTACATGTTATCGGTAATAGATTACTGGCTTATCGAATTCCGACACTCGTAAACTTCCTATAAGCAAGCTAGTAAGAATAAGCCAAATATAAATTACGATTTTTCTTCAAAGTATATCCAGTAATTTGCTTATAAGTCACCTTAAGTTTCCGATTATCAATAAAATGATCCTTAAAATAAACCGCCAATGGTGTATTATTCTAATCAGATTAGAAGAGGAGGTTAGTATTTCATTATGGAGAGATTTCCTGGAACCAAACAAAAACAATATCCGAACTATCTTCTTTATTCATTCGATATCATAATTGGATAATTACTAGAACATACAACAATGCATTGTTTCGTAAATTTTAAAATTTATTATGTTGGTCAGTTAACAGAATATTAAATTAACTAAATGTATAAGTGTTATTAGTTTTCTTAACAAACGTCTTGAGTGTTACTTAAACTTGGATTTATTTTTATATAGAATTATGATTCTTTACATAAGTATATTACTCTCTCTCTTTCTCTCTCTATATTATAACACCTTGAATAAAGCGCTACTTCACCACATATATTGATCAATGAAAATTCAATCAATGTGTTTAAAGTTTTACAAATATATGTATATGTATGGTTAAGTATGTTAAAGGGCGGTCGATTATGTTTACCTTAGTTCTCTTTTTATTTTTCAACGAATATGGAGTTCGTATATTTTTTTGTAAAATAAACAATACATGATTGCAATATTTCACCATCACCATTATCATCGTCGGTAGTAGTAGTAGTAGTAATAACAATAATTGAGAAAGGAATCATTAGTCTATTAGGACTGTTTACAGTAAAACTACATAAAAGATTTAACTAATTTTTATAGGATACAGTAAAGTATTGGATGTTTGCAATCAATAGTTAGAAATGTTCATGTATAACTTTGAAGAAATTTATAATCATGTTGAAAAATGAACACGTTTTCACAATGATGAACTCAACCAATAGGAATACATAGTAATAAGTATACTATATCATTAGTTACTGTATGACGAGATTTTCATTTACATTAACCTTAGAGTTAGTTACACGTTTAGAGATAATCGTATATTAATTTGAGAACTTCTTTAACACTAACGTTAAATAGATAAGCTATCAAATATAAACAATACTGACAAATATAAAATATAAGATAGCAAGTTATTTTTAACTGCTTACAAGTTATGTGGTTATAAATCTAACGAGTTACTCTGTATACATCAAATGCCTTTGTAAAATTTTGTAGGTTGATGTATTCTTTTAAGAACAAATGATAAGTGAAATATTATAAACAAGGCACTGCGTTGGAAGATCTCAGCCTATGTATCCTAGTTTGGATCAGGACAATCGTCTATCTACCTGTGGTTTGCGTTAATTACAATTCGAATTGCCGTCAAAACTTTCCCACTGATTTGTTTTCACATTTGCAGTGGGTATGGGTACACCGCAGAATGTGCATATAGTAAATAAACTGGACCGCATAAAATAATTAACAATATGTAAGTATAAGTTTCAATAATAGAATTGAATAGCTGCAAACTAATAAAGGGTTATGAATAAATTTCGAGGTAATAAAAACGGTATTTAAATAAATGACGGTTTCATAAATGTAAGATGATTCTTTCAAATGTTATTACGATTTCCGGTCAGCATAAATTATACTATCGAATGATCATGAACTGCTCTAGCTAATCAGAAAATATGGATAATTAATTTTGTGGTAGAAAATGAGTGGAAATACTACTTAGTTTTATATGATTGATGAATATTTCTAGTTTGGAAATATGCCTTGAATGGTTACATTGTAAAGTCTGAATTAAGGTTGTTGCTTATGATTGAGGGTTAGTTTGTGTATGTACTGTAACCCATATACTAATCCTAACATACGTTGAGGCGAAATATTGTTTTACTCCATATTTCTCATTCATAATCATTTTATTTCCACTCTCAAGTGAATGTTGCTTGTTTTGTGGACAATTTAAAGCCTTGTGAGTACTAAATGATATTTTATACATTAAACTTAATCATAATACAGTCGATATTCAGTATGTTAGTTTGATATTTACTATGAAACTTAAAGTCACTTTCTCGATCTTCATTAGTTTGGGACAATATTTGACTTGAACTAATTGTCTTTAAAAGAAGAGTAGTAGTGGTTGAGTTATAAATCAATTATTATTCAATAGTTTGAGAAAGTGCTAATTTTATCAACTGAAAAAAAGGATAAGCAAAAAATATTGGAATATGCACATACACACACATGCACGAGTTAGTATGGCGCATTCGTGTACTTCATTTATATGATCAGTCAAAAAGCTAAGAGAAATTTAAAAGGATCAGAAAAAGGATGAAGAGGAAGACAGCAACAAGAAATGTGAAAGGGACAATTCAAGGATAAAGTTTGTCAGTTTCTTTCCAATAGTTGTGAAATTAGTAGTAGTAGTAATAGTAGTCCAAACAAAAAGTGGAAACAATTCATTCATGACTTAGTCATTAGCAGTTAAATATCGATAGATAAATATGTGGTTTAAGTGTGATGAATAATAAATATTGAAATCACAAATACGCTTATTTCATAGTAAATAATTACTGAATACAACCAATTAATTAAACTTGATTATGTTGTAGTTCTTTTAAAAATCTTAAAATATACATAAACAGATTTAATATATCCAAGTATAGATCAACGCATGCCATAATATATTCTTCCGGTGAACAATGATGCATTATTCGCCAAGTATCATAAACTATGAATAAACTGAATAAGCAAGCACCACCGGCTGCGATACATAACTCCAATAATGATGAACCTAGAAATAACTGTAAAGTGTTTAACACAAAACAGCAAAAAACAATGAAAAAATACGGGGAATGGAGGAATAATATAAAACACAGCAAAATTAGAGAGTAAAATCAATTATCAATTCTTATAGAATCAATGGATAGCAGTGAAATTCAGTAGGCACACTTCATTTCATTTGGAACTTGACATAAAGATGTACCTACCTACTTGCCTAAATTTGAGTGTTAATGTTCACATCGGGACACAAATTCAATACCTATCACTTATAACGCCAAAGTGTCATCCACTGAGCCACAATAGTCACAACCTTGTTCAATGCGTATGGTTTTCATGTCACTATTGATAAATGTTTAACTTAACACGTTGTTGATATTAAACGAAATGGTTATACACCTAGGCAATCTGAACATATGATAACACAGACTAATCGAAATTTAATCAAGAATACAAACAATAGGGGAATCCAAAAGTTGATTGATAATGAGATATCAACTATCAATGTTATTGTCATACAATAAATACAGCTTGATTGATTTGAAAATTCAACAAACTATCATTTAAAATCGCGTTGTACTGAAAAGCACTACGTAATTATTATAATATCACTAAGACAACGAATCAGAGATTATATGGAGTATGGTTGCATTGAATATTCGCTGAGTAGTAGTAAATAATTTTATGTTAGTCTAGTCTTTAGTTTTGATTAAATTCTATCGATGAAGTTGCAATAAGGTCACTACTACAAGTGACTCGACATCTCAATGTGTTGCTCTGACGTCAGGTGGTTGGTGGTAATCGACAGGAAACTCTGGATCTAGGTTTCGAATTGGTACATATCAATAAGGCATACCTGAACTCTTGAGTAGGATTCAAACTGATGTCCCCAGCTTAACAGTTTGAGACGTTACTGCCGAGTTATTCGGGCCACAAATAACCTGCTGTAGGATCGAGTAAATATGTTCGTATTGATAAATGATACTTTCGAACTCTAAACTAACGTGAAATCAATTTTAATACGAATGACTGATCAGAAGCTTGATAACTAAGGAATCCTAGATAGTCTACAGTAGCTTAATAAACAAAACATCCATCTTACAACCAATAACTTGCTTAATGTACTTCAGTCTGTGCATTTAAAGTGGTATCACTAGTCCTCACATATACAAAGTGAAAAAAATTCAGTACATAAACATTATATATGATAAACGGGTTAGATTTACATAGGAACTATCATATTACAGTTGCGTTCCAGATTACAACTAATGTAAAAAAGCATCACCTTATAAATACTTATATACAATATTGTTAAGGTAGATTTTCTAAATGGAGATTTTAATATATTTCAAAGGAGATTTCCATCACAGATTGACATCATCTAGAGAAAATGAGCTCGATAGCATGTGAGGCTGTGAGTGAACACTGATAACAAGTAATAAAACAAAATGAAATATCTATCTAGTATCCCTATATTTTAGCAGTTTTACAGTTGGGGCTAGTTTCTGTCCCAAACAGCTTCACAGCGTTGATAGTAGGTGGGGGAATTAGTACAAATGGGCATTTTAATGATGGATTATGTTAAATAAACAATGGAAATGTCAACAATAATTACATCAACTTACGTTAATGGGTCCAACTAATAGTAAAATGAGAAAAGCAACTGATAATCCTACACCCCATTTACTGAAATCTTTCTTGGAATTCAGTGTGTACAACATCAAAGACATAACAACTATGGTGGTTAATATAAATGCTTGAAGTACAACAGTTGCAGAATATGTAATCACTTGGAGAGTAAAATAAAACAATTAAAAAGTAAGTCATCGATAATAATTGTAATAATAATAATGACAATAATAATAGTAAACCAATAATTTATTTAATAAATGCTAAATATTTGTATACAGTAGGAAACATAAATTAGTTAATATAAATTTACATAAAGTCAGATTAAACAGATTGCAGGTTTACACGATTCCAAATAAAAAATACATAAGTGGCAAATTCCAGCTATGAAATTAAACTTTGGTTTTATTTGTCAATACCGGAGTTTGACCGATACGACCTCGGTGGTGGTTTTTGACAAAATAATTGTAAGAGCTATAGATATTATACATGGCATCAGTTCATGAAGACACTGATTATTGTACTGGGTCATGTAGGTGCAGATTACCTGGTTGGGAACCGCTTGATTATTGTAAACAACGGTTAGAGACTTTGCGTGACATTTGCAATGGCGCAGATGTATCAACTCTTGATCTTCTCTTAGATCATAAGTGTCAAGATTCCTCGTGAAAGTTTTCTCTATCTCAGTAATTTATATTCTCTAAAATCATATCTTTATTGCCGAATATATCCTATAATCCTTGATACAATTAACACCCTTACTACTCTAGGATTTGACCTGACAACATCATGTCGTTATGGTAATGGGTTGTGATAACTTGCAGCGATGTGGACATGTACTAGGTCCTACGTTGCGTTAATTCAAAGTCAATTCAAAAGTTGTTGAGAACTACTAGCCGCAGTAAGTAGTACTGAATAAATGATGAGAACAACAGAAATTTCGGAACCATGCGATTACGAGATCTCTTTAAAAACTATTTTAGATAATCAAACAGATTAAAATACTGGAATTATTGGAATTTTTAAAGACACAGAATTCTGGACTCTATTTCCAATCAGGCAAAACATAATAAACACGACATGAGCGTTACGAAAACTTATATTTCACTAAATTAACATGATAGAATACTCAACTTGAGTACAACTTGCTACATGATATTATCAAGTACAAAGGTGATCGAAACATTGAACGTAACTACGGCAAACGGCTTAGTGAGCCACTGTGATATTAACAACTAATACCATGGGAGTTGGAAAACCCTGGTTCCAAACCAATGGCGTACATGGGCTCCAGGATCCTTAGGGAAAAATGGCGTATGGACCAATCGTTAGTCACCGGCTACCAAGGAACTGCATCTCCTGACGCTGCACCACTGCCTTGTGGATCAGACCTTTAGGTCAAACGCCCCGGATGCGGCCCCTAAGAACACCACTTGCTTCGATCTGGGCACCCGGGTAGTATCACAGCTCACTCATAAATCAAGTGACTTGTAAGGTGCATATGTATTAGGTGCCCCTTTGTGTTCAAATAAATAAATAAATGTAATAGGTTGGTGGGAGTCAATGGAATATTACGTATTTGTGTAAAAGCCAGAAAGTTGACATGGCGTCTCGAGATCAAATGATAAATGGGAAATTATAAACGAGGAACGTTACCAAAGGAGGTCGGTTATGCACCTGGTCAAGACTACAGCCTACATATCGCTATCTAGCTCAGGTAGGATAAATACATAGATACCGATGATTTAAGTACATTATTGAATGGTTTTGTCAAAGTTTCCTGGTAGTTTCTCAATCTTTTTACTGGAATCTATCATCGGTATAAAAAGCGTGAGCATTATGTAGCCGAAAATGGACGTTATGGATCGTATCCTTACTACAGTCGTCCTTCTAAGCTATATATCTCCACTATCTTTAATAGATTACATTGGCATATGATTTAATGATAAAAATTGAAATCAATAAAACGCTGTTATATTAAGAATAAACAATCAATCGGTAAATTTAAAATACATGATAATTTTAAACGTTTGTCGTTAAGACTACCAACATAACCTTACATACCTGCATATCCCACGAGTATAGATTCACATATAGTCTAAACACAGGATAACCATATTTTTTAAATGGAAATTATTAAATATTTATGAACTTACAAATAAGTATAATAATATAAAATTAGTTGGTGTTTCCTGTCTTTTCCACATTAATCCCAATAGAATTCCGATTGTACTTATAATAAGTATAATTGGTAACCATGTACTAGAAAAATAAAAACGAGTAGTAAAAATTACCAGTTCACCAGAAAATAACAACGTACTTCTGTCGAAGGTTATCCAATAGAACAGGTTTTAAAATCATCATTGTTCCAGCACATAATGAAGTGAGTAAAAGTTGTGTGAATAGAATACCGTAGACTTTTCGTAAAAATCCTTAATTCAAAAAAGACAACAATAGACATTTTAAGTCGAAAGATTAATGGTTTCATATTCATTATTAATGTCAACTAAACAAACGTTGAATGTTTGTAAGTTCAGAACATTGGTTACCAAGACATGTCAGGAGTATATGTATAAATAATGCACAGTGATCTACTCAAATTTTTGGGTTACCATTTTTCTAAAAGTATGTTTATTGTCATAAATTTTCCTCATTGTGGGTTGCTCAAGTTAAATAATTATGCCCACTGCATGTGTTTCCGTAAACAATCAACAAACTGACTCTACAGTTCCTATATTCGTTTGAAAATCTAACATGGTTATCTACAAGTTGATGAAGAACATGAGATCACAGATGTAATAATTATCCGACTACTCTCTCGTTCTTCAGCTTGCGTTGATAGATATTAACTTTTAATGAAACCAGTTTCACGAGAAACGTTAACGAAAAGAATTGTTTATTAAAACTATAAAACTGTAGATATACCGTCATATCCTTTATGGATGGACAGTGTAGCAAACTTACTTAGTCGAACTGTTACATGCGCATTAGCGACATTGTTATTGAAGGCGAAATCTTTTTCAATGGGATGTCCAGATTCTTGGCTGATAAGAAATGAATCCATATTTATGTAAGCACTGTAAAAACTGAAACGACCTAGTGATGTGTAAAGGTAAAACAAAAATAGATTAATTACTGGAAATATCACTTACTAAAAAAGCAACAGATAGACAAACATAATAGGAAAACATTCCCTCAGTTTAAGTAGTTGTAAGGAACGAATTCAAAAAATGAACAAGCATAACCGTGTGAATAAGAAATAGATGACTAGAATTATGATAGTCATAATAATAGTGAAGTGATGAAAGCATTCCAGTTAGTTGTCGTCAAATTTGGAACGGCTATATATTAGTTTAAATCGTTACACTTTACATTACATTGAGAAAAAAGTGAACAAGGTGAGAAGCGAAGACGAAATAACTTCAACTGTAATGAAAATCTAAACGTGAGACAATTAGTTAGAAAACATGAATGGAATTCAAGAATAAAAATCATTGACATGTGACTTTAGGTTTAAAAAAGATAAAAAGTGAATGGAACTGTACCACTGCAGTGGAACCAATTTTAAACTCATTATTCAGAAATGAAAAAGTCATGAAGTCAGTTCTATCTGCCTGCCACGATTATTGTCCAGAAACCTTGAGACAATGTGGCAGTTGTATGTGACTGGATTACAAGCACTTGTTCATTTCAGAATAACGAATTAGCTCCACCTAAATCACTAGTTATAAAGGGAGAGACTGATGCGGCTTTAATGGAAATTATGGAAGGGAAGGTATTACACTCAGGAAAGTTTATTTTATCTTAAACAGATTACAAAATTATATGCTTTAATTATCTGCAAGTGTCATGAGTGTTTTAGAGACATGCGGATATGTTGAGTCAAAGTTCATTGGGAGTGGAATTTACTACCATATCGGGCTAAAAACCAGTCTGTTAAGATATGCCCAAATATGTTTGTCCATTGTGAATCTTGAGTATACAGATTAGAGAACAAATGTAGATGGGCTATCGTTGTATAAGAGATCTAATCAACAATTATGGCCTATATCAGACCGCATTGTTGCTCCTAAAATTAGCGATGTCTTCTTGGTAGGCGCCTTTGATGAAAAACAAGACCTGACATAATCAATACCCGTAACAACACACGAGACCAAGTTGATCACATTCAAATCTTCCCCACACCTAATACCTCTCTAATCTCCACGACAAACCTTTCTCACGTCCATTTATCACCTCGCACAGCTAGGGCAAACGATTCGAGTACGCGGAACGTTATTCCTGGTCTGAAACCGCGCTTTAAACTACACGTAGAAGCTTTTAACGTCCGAACCATTTCTGTGCTAATGTGGTGTGGCAACACGAACTGATGTACATACGTACGAAGTTCTACGTTGTTACTGACTGACAATCAGATTTCGGTCGACTTTATTTCCAAACTAAAAATAGGAAATTTCGAATAAATTGAGCATTGGGTTGATTGTTATAAATAAAAATAATATATTTGTAATATCCCAATGAGTAGAAAATTGGATTTTCTGACGTTTCGTGGCTTAGTGTAAGTCACTTCTTCAGAGAATAAATCACCAAAATTAAATTAATCCAAGTTTAAATAGTACAACGGAACAATGCAAGAATAATATTTGATCAATCAAAAACAGGTCTGAACAAGTTGATGTCATGTCATTTCTGTCAAGGTGACATGACATCAACTTGTTCAGACCTGTTTTTGATTGATCAAATATTATTCTTGCATTGTTCCGTTGTACTATTTAAACTTGGATTAATTTAATTTTGGTGATTTATTCTCTGAAGAAGTGACTTACACTAAGCCACGAAACGTCAGAAAATCCAATTTTCTACTCATTGGGATATTACAAATATATTATTTTTATTTATAAAAATAGGAAACCCTAGTTTAGACTGTTTAAAGCTTAATAGATAGGTAGCTGCAAAACTCATAGTCTTACTTCTTTGTTTTAATTTTGAAAACTTAGAAACGTTAACTCATTTATTATCTAAACCCAAATTATGCGTCAGTCCCATTGAACTTGTGAGCAAGGATTTAAATAATTTTCCACGATATTGTGTTACGGTGCCGAACACTTAGTTTACAACAATCATTCATTAAAGCACACTGTTGATAACATCAACCCGAGTGATACTTTATATTGATATTTCTCATTTCCCTTTGATTCCTATATTAAAGGGATAAAAATGACAGTACACTACGGATACAATGCAGGGAAATAAGCTGTTTGGCGTTATACTGAAAAGATTTTCTCTGTAATCGGATACAAGGGAGTATTTGTTGCTAATACCGAGAGTATAGTTAACTGAGGTTTTCAGAAACCGGTTGAAGTCGTTCAAACCCGATAACGTAGTAAGAGTTAAGCCGGACAAATTGTTGACAGCATGTTCTTATGTTAACCATAGATTTTTTCATGCGATTACTCCCTTTTTGTGATATAGAAATATTCACGTACTTACTAGGTAATCATGATCACATATGAGCACCTATTAATGCATCATATGTATATAGCTACAAACTGTGTAGACCATGAAGTAATAGTTCTCCATTACACAGGTATTTATAATGAAAGTTTGCATTTCTGAACTATTTTGAATAACAAAGTGAAGTTGAAATTTTATCAATCTTAAATCCAAAAATCTCGCTGCAAATAATGTCTTGATTGAAAAGCAAATTTTCGGTAGGACTTTAATTTATGGACGAGCCAATCAGAAGCGTTTAAGGAATTTCAAGGTCATGGTGCTAAGTTCAGTGCGGGATACTCACATTCGATCGTTTTACAGCAGATTTTAGAGAATAGGTGATTGTTGAGAGATTACAGCAGATGGGACTATTAGGAAGTCCCTGTGTCTGCGACTGCGGCAATTAAATGACCGCAGCACGATGTGCAGACTGCCGCGATGACATTGTATTTCGTTGTACTATATGTTGTAGAAAAAAAATCTGCTCGAACTGGCACTTTTTCTGCACGGTCACGGCTAAGGCAAAGACAAACCATGATAATCGTTGCAAATTGGATCATAAAGTCTCCAGTAACATTAGCTGCGGCTATACCGATGATTGGAAAGCGTATAGATGCCTCTCGAGACTTGGTTTTGTGCATCATGTTGTGGTGCACAAACGTCATTTTGTTGACCCAACGACGGGGGTCCATACAAACAACATTGACGGCATGTGGTCTAGGCTGAAGTATTTTTTAAGTCCCTACCACGGCTCCAGAGGACGATTATTATGGAGTCATATGGACGAGTTCTTATACCGCACCCACTATGATTTCAAAAATTCTGAACCTATATCAAACCTCAACGAGTTCTTAAATAATGTAAAAGAAGAATATCCATTGTAATTCATCACTTTTTTATAATATATTTTTACTTTATACTAACTCTCTTCTAATTGGCTAATGTCCTCAAGGTTACTTGACAATTCGTTCAAAGGTCGTCCATAAATTAGAGTTTCACCAAATTTTCTTAATAGCAAGTAAATGACTTGTTATTCCAAAACTGTGCATGAATGTGGATGACTTGGAGGATATCAGGTTAACAAACAATGTGGGTCCGGACGAGTTGGTTAACTATTACGGGTGTGGTTCTACAGTACTTCGATCATTTGCAAACACAAATGATTTTCCTACAGATGTTTTTCTCTACTGCGTCTCACTTGATCCAGTCACTTAACGATTTAGTTGGTCACTAACTTCCCTTGCAAACAGAAAAACGCAAAACATTCAGCGTTTCTGTTAATTGCTTGCAGAGACGTGGTCAAGAGAGCGTCTGAGAACTTTTATAATTCTATAGATTTAGATATTGCAAAGTACGCCTGGATACAGTAGAGTTGAATATCTGAAATTTTGATTGTTACAAACGCTGACTTCAACTGCAAAGTAATTACTTTGCAGTTGACAAACCTAAATTTGTTACTGCCACAGATTGGTACACATTCAACCAAAACACAACTGTTATTATCAGTCAGTACCTCGATGTCTGTTAATAGCCTAATTAAGGGTAAGTTAAATGATAAACTGTCTCTGGTATCATGAATTAGGTTACTTGTGAGAGCGTTATGGCGTTCATTTCGAGGCAATCCCTCTAAAAAAGAGAAATCACGAGAAGTGTCCTAATATTCATACCGATCTGAAAAGGTGATTATCTGATGCATTGCCACGTATATTATACTTCAGTTTGCCATTAATTTCCGTACCTCATCTGATCTGCGAACTTAAACTAATTGCTCAACTCAGATGTTTGTATGTAAAATTTGTCCACATAAAAGGAAGAAACCTTCCCCAAAACCACTTTTCCATTTGTTACCTTTTATTTCTCCTATTTTATTATTTAGGATGTAATGAACAGTTTTGTATGGGACGGTCCAGAAGCCGAGACAGGCGAAACAGAATAAAGTACAGTGCTAAAGTGGTCCATATACACCGCAAATTATTCAAACTAACTTACGCTCAAAACTCAGATTACTGAACTAAAGTGGAAAAAAATTGACGTTGAATGACCTTGATCAGAAACGTCAGTTTCATAAAACGGAGTTTCAATATGCAATATATTTAAACTTATTCCTTTCTATTAGTTCTTTTCCGGATTTTACGTCTTAAACTTTTATTCAGGTTGATGTTTTATCGTTGTTGAACATCAAGGTCAAGGTGCATCAATGTGGACTGGCCTTCTTCCTCTCTTTAATCGTAAAGTTTAGTTCAACTGGTATGAGCAAAACTCCTCAAGATTCTGAGCTCGACATCTCTTTCGATCAGTTTTAACAGAATGCCACTAAAGTTAAATCATGGAACATGGCATTCCGTTAGAAGATGTACGTTAGTTTTCCTTGACCTTCATCAGGATCGGTGAGTCGCCTGATGTTCGGTAATCCAACTGCTGGGCACAGTCAGGCTGTTACGCCATGGTTTTTCGCGCGCATGTAACGTATTATAGAGGATTTTGATATGTCGTTATTTGCCAGCTATAAAAAGTTTTCTTTCCGTCTCACGGTAATTTTTGTAATGTTTTTGCCTGTTACATGACATTTATTGCAGTTTAATAGTAGTTTAATATATTTGTTGCTAACAACCTGCGGCAAAACATGACTTAAATATGAAAAAAATTGATACTCATGCAACCCAACAAACCCACGGCAATTGAAATACAGAATGACCGCCCCTTGCCAAGCCGTTCACGGTCGTTGAAACGAAAGGGCAGGCAGACTCAAAAGACTCCGACGTTTTTCCCGTGCCCAACTGCTCGTTTTAGCTAGAGGTCATTGATATTTCATCGACCCTACAATAAAAAAAGATGTGATTCCAGGTCATTTATTTAGATTCATTATGTAGGGGGTTTGCTTTTGTTAGTTTAGACTGAACCCCAGGCCAAGTGAATGTGCGTCTCAGTTATAAACAAAAACGTATTAATCACACAACCTAGTTTTTCAGATAACGTGAAATTTACTCATTATCTGAATCCTAGCATTCATTGTGATGATGTCACAGATATTCAGTGTTTGACAACGCTTCTACCAGTAACACCTTCTAATGTATTTCGTTCGCACCCAGAGAAATCAAAAGACAGAGTCGAGGAGATCGGAAGAGTATATTTGGCGATGACCAATATATCGTAATTCTCTGATCTAATCTGGCTAGCGATTGCGGTTGATGTTGAGCACGGCGTTACCACACGTGATCTGGTGCGGATGCCTGACCGAGCGCCTTCAGCTAGATGAGTCCACTTAAACATATGGTCAGCATCCAATGTCGAAAACTTACAGAGCTATTTATTTTGGCGATTTATTTACCACCACAGATCACTGTCCCACTAGGGGGGCAGTGACGACCCCAAGACGTGGCCAGCCAGAAGTTTAAACCCAACGAGTTTGCCGTCGGTAAACACTCTTCTGATAGCTTACTAAGTGTAGCAGCGTCTGGTCGCCTTTCCTTACTATCTGGGACCGAGGTACAACATAGTAAAAAAAGAAAGAGTAACAACGAAATTTTCGACTCCTCGTAAACTGCATCGTTCTTTTCCAGTCGTCCTGGAAAAGGAAAAAGAAAGTGTGAGTGCATGTCGAAATACACTTGTATGTGCGTAAAAACACAATGTCGGCGGAAAAATGGAAAATATACTCAAGCACACGTAATAGTGTTAAAAAAATGTTTTTTATGTTTTGTTTTTTTAAAAATAAAAATATAAATATATAGGCATAATAAAATTGTCTTTTTTTAACAAAAAATTATATATCGTTAAAAAGAAAGTTCGAGATAATATAAAATGCCGAGTAGTGGTTGATAGAGTGGGTCTATCATATGTTTAACTGTGACTGGGGATACTCTGCAACCAGTAAAAGAAGTTACGCAAACGGATAAATTAGTGTTCCCGTTTACTAGCCTCCGTTTGCGAGTGTCGATGATCAGATTGTGGTGTTGTGGAAGATTCATACCAATGATTGGCATAGAAACATCAGCAACAACGAAGATCCAGTGAATGGGTTTGCGTAAACCCACGTTAAGGTAAACGTACCTTTTGCCATACGTAGCGATCGGTTTTCCGTTTGCCGCCTGTAATTTTAGGGTCGATTCGTGAAGCCGGTCGTTAGGATTTGCTGGGAGAACGCTAACTTCTGCGCCAGTGTCGACGAGGTAGCGAACTCTCGTTGTCACATCTGTGACGAATAACAAACGGCTTTGTTCGCCGGCTACGGTTGCCGTTAACGCGTGCCGGCTTGGAAGTTTCCCGAGCTGTTTTTTGAATCAGTCGGTTTCGTGTTGGGGAAATTGCAGGGTTTTCTGCAATTTCTGGAAAACTTTCCATACTGGTTATGATATCAACACCAGTCGGGGTTATCTGTCTCTCGTGGTCTAGAGACAGATCGCTTACGTGAAATGCTTCTACGTGATGTGCGCGATCTCTTACGGTCGGTACGAAGACTAAGATAATGCGTGAGTGTGTGACATAAGTCGTTTATATCATTCTGAGTCGTTTGAGGTTTTTCTTTGACTGAAAACACCTCTGTAGTAGAAGGTTACGTAATTTCTAGAATGCGGTCGGCAGATGCAGCTAGTTCGTCTAAGGCGTTGTTCTGAAACGAGACCAGAACTGCTAGCACCTGTTGGGGAAGTTTTGATAAGAAGAGTTGTTTGAATAGACCTTCGTCGAAAGTTCTTGGGCCTATTACCTCTTTCATCCGTTGCATTATGTCCATCGCAGAACCGTGTTGCAGGTCGATGTTATTCAAGAGTTGATTTAACCTTTGTCGATCGGTTAGGTCTCCTCGTTTAAGAATCGAACGTTTTAAGGTTTCGTAAGGTTCAGAATCATCACTAGTAAACATACTAGGTGTTACGTACCTGTTGAATTCGCGCGGTAGTGCCTTGACTACTGCGAGGAATTGTGCACGTGTGTCGTTCACGCCGTGCTCGGAGAAGTCGGCTTCTGCGTAGCAAAACCAGGCTTCGATGTTGTCGGGCCAGAAAGGCATCAGTTGAAACGAAGGCGGGGACAAAGTCTTAAGCTTGAGTACTTTAGGTGTCTGTTCAGTCATGATGAAGTATGAAGTACGATAATGAACGAGGGGAAAAAATATATATATATCCAAGAAGAAACACGAAAAAAAATCACAATGTTTAAAAAAATAAAAAAGGTAAGGCAATGATATATAAAAATCCCAAAAAGGAACAGACTCACAGCTGCAATTAGGTGTACCAGATCACGTCGGTCTCACCAATGAAGGATGACACAGGTATTCAGTGTTTGACAACGCTTCTACCAGTAACACCTAATATAATTCGTTCCCACCCAGAGAAATCAGAAGACTGAGTCGAGGAGATCGGAAGAGTATATTTGGCGATGACCAATATATCGTAATTCTCTGATCTAATCTGGCTAGCGATTGCGGTTGATGTTGAGCACGGCGTTACCACACGTGATCTGGTGCGGATGCCTGACCGAGCGCCTTCAGCTAGATGAGTCCACTTAAACATATGGTCAGCATCCAATGTCGAAAACTTACAGAGCTATTTATTTTGGCGATTTATTTACCGCTACAATTGTTTTTTTAGTTTTGAGCTAAATATTCAAAGCCTTTATACTTAAACTTATTCACTCAGTAGTGTGATACGGTTCAACCACGATTTATACTGATGAGATTTTTTGTATCATGTATTCCATGAATTTGTTGAGATGGCAATGAAAACGTACTAAAAGTCCGTGGAGAAAGGCAAAAACCTAAACACTACCGTGTTGGCAATCTGTGGTATACAAGCTGGACTGCGCCTTGAAGCAATATGTAGAAGTTACACAAGCCAGACATGTACACTCGGTATAAAAAATTCACGTACTTATTGATAAAACAAAGTGTGAAATCCTGAAGACACTATACAATAATCTGCACCAACTAATACATATCTTTAGAGAATTATTCACGAAGTAGTTATGTTATAGTTATGTAGTGACTCACATTCATCATGAGAACACGACTGGTTTAAAAAAAACAATTATTATTATAACCAACTGTACCAGTGTTTGTTTTAATGTGCTTTTGTTTGACTGTGCTAATGACAGCTATTTTATGCTTCCTTCCTTATTCTTACACTTTGATTGTGACCTCGCGCGAATTCGGTTACGTTCTGTAACCAAACCTGTATCCTGGCACGATCTCGGTATCCTTTCGATACCACGAGATCGCCAGCAAATATATCTCGACTTGGTCCATTAACTGCCTTCTGATATTTGGCTTCCGGGGGGATTTTATGAAGTTATTTGGCACGTGTTTCTCTGTAGCGATGTTCATAGTCTATCGCGACTTGACACTCACGCTACAGCTATAATGGCACATACCTATCATCAATCCACTTAGACCTTGAAAACACTGCTATCAAACTATTGATAACTATTAGTTCAGTTACAGTTGAGCTTATCTGCTAAAATCATCAACTGTAAGAAAGCAAAGGCATTCCAAAATGCTTATGTTTGTTGGTCACAGAGCAGTGACCGATGTCTTGTTCTTCGTATTATTGTAGTGTATAACGATGAAAAAACTAGTAAGTTACGGGAATTCGTTCCCTTGTATTGGACAAACGTAAACTGGCTGTTTTTCACTTTAAAGACCGGTAGGGAATAGCAGTGCATCATATAAGTACCGAGTTGATGTAGCTATTTTGCATACATTTTTATTTAGGAGCTCGATTGTAACTACAAACAGTATCGAAGATGCGCGTTTCGCGCAGCTTTAAACTCGTCAGCTGCATGTTGATGTCTAAACCACGGCTCAAAGGCACACATACTAACAACGATTGATAGAGATTAACCTAGTAATATAAACAATGGGAAAATCCGACCCCTTTTTGAGCATGGTGCAAGCATCACAGCGGTTAGACAGGCGAGCAACTGTCTAGAATCTGTAGCCAAGAACGTAACATGTCGGTATTTGGAGCGAAAGACACTGGATTTGAGGAGTGGTGCGAAGTGTAATATCATTTGTTGTAGACCTATTTACATTCATATATAAGTATCTCGAAAAGCTAATAATGCCTTTTGAATTATTCGACATCGAGTATTCTGTCCCATCGGACCTAACAAGTAGTACAGACTAGGTTATATTTGCAAAGTTGCAATGTACACATTGTTCCAAGTAATCCGATATCGCCAGTACTGCCTTATATTGAGTACATGAAAGTTATCGGGAGAAAACTATATTTGACTTTGTGAGATTGTTTTAATAGCGACAACAGGAAAACCTTAAGATAATAGACGTTCGTTCTAGGAAATAAATGGTATCTAACGCAATCGTAAAGTAACTGACAACAAAATCAAGGCGAACTCAGCAAAGACAACCTGTTGACGTTTGGTTTCACAAAAATAAAGATTTGTTTGTATTTGTAATTATGCAATTAAAGATAACTACAGAACAAAAAACATACACACAGTTTGTCAAGGGATACTCCCCAAAGTAATTCGATTTACATCTATCTTCATGTGTATAATATCAAGGAAATATTCCTTTTAAAGCTGTTGCTTTTGTTGTAATTTAATATAAATAGCACGATAGAATCAAAGTAAAATATAAAGACTGCTAATAGGTGATTGTCACACAATAACATAGAAATATAAAATCAAAGAATAAAGGCTAAATATAGGTAGTATATTGAAATAAGTGAACAGTTTTATTCTATATCGAATAATAAATCATCACCAGATACTTTCATTCCACTGGAAACGTAAATCTTCTTAATACAACCTGAAATGGGTGCTGTTATGCTCATTTCCATTTTCATAGCTGACAATGTAGCTAATTTTTGACCTTTCTCTACAACATCTCCGTCTTTCACATTGATTGTTACTAATTCACCAGGCATTGGTGAACCAACGGAGCCTTTGACACCTTTCAAAGCCTTCGGATGAAACGATATCGACTAGAAACAAAAAGAATAAATACGATGAGGGGAGTTTGTGTGGGAGAGAATGAAATTTGTAGACGAATATTGTGTAGAGAACATCCAAAATTTGGATATCAACTCAGTGGTCTAAAGGTTAAATGCTCTTCAAGATATCCCGGGGTCCTGGACTCGGTTTCTAGCAAGGTCGTTGGTGAACACTGCTACTGAGGAGCTCCATGTTAGAACGGAGTGAACGTTTATTTATTCCTAGTTTTCAATGGTTATCTAATTTTAGTTTTTGATGTAAAAAACAAGAAAATCATCCCAACTTTGATGAATGAAGTGAGTTTCAGTAGGGTTCGCTGTGAAAGGAATATAAATTGTAATGTGTAAATCTTGATAAAATTTGAAGCACATCGCCAGGTTAAGATAGACGTCTTATATGCTGAAGGGATTTCACCACTTCAAGCAGACAAATTTGTTCCTTTCCACACAATGTGATGCTCCATAACGCAAATAAAGGTAGAAAAATACTCATCACATGACACCCTCGACTGCATATACCAACCTAAGTGTAGACGCCAAAGCATAAATATTTGAAGGACAAAATGTTGAGGATTACACATTTTTGCGACCATATTCCCAATAACCTATGTTTTCGACGAAAAAAGGTCTTCTGAGTTCTACTACACGCCTACTGTTAAATACGGTATACAAAGTGCATGAAGAATCCATCCAAATTGTTTAACATAAAAGTCAATTATCTCGTAAAAATAGCAATTCGAAGGCTCAAACCTGACCATTGTGTTCAGAAAGAGTCAGTGGTTAACCATCAACTGTCTTAGTAATACAAGTGAACTAAACATTTTGGCCTTTTTTCATCTTTTCCTTCAGTTAATCAGTCACAATCTAGTAAATTTAAGTCACGCGTCTTGTCTTCTACATCTCCTAAATTTGTGTTATGTTGTACAGCAGAAAAATAATCCTAAATTTAATAGGGGCATCCTCCTGTCGACTACTTCCAACCATCATATTATCTCAACATGGTGCACGTAATTTCGAGTCACCTAGACTAGTGGCCACATTGCGACTTGGTCGATAGAATTCGATCTGCACTAAGAAGGACCTGACACACATAACATTGATCACCACCCAGTGATCACCCAATTGTTAACGGATATCTTTTATAACCAAGATAAATACATCGACTGATCCCTGAATATACCGGGCAACGTCACGCTTCGTACTAGGTAGATTAGTTTGGAGGGATCAGTAAACATATCTTCAAACTTACCTTTGTAGCTTCTTTATCACTAATCAAAATTGATCTGAGTTGGCCATTCATTTCGAAGAATACTTCACGTTCCCCGGCTTTGGTTAATTCACCGACAGCCAATGTTTTAATATGTAACATTTTACCGGTCTCCAAGTCGACCTGTTTAAGGAATAGTTTATCATGTGTGAAACAAATATGTTAGCTTAACGTGTAGAAAAAAAATACTTATTCTGAAGAGTGATAAAGCACTGTCTGAACATATTCATATCAAAGGGAAATAATTTGTATCCTAGAATGTAAATTCTATGTAGCTTGTCTGTAACCAACGGTTCATTGTATAGGAACCAATTATAAAGTACTGAGAGAGAGCGAGGGGAAGGTAGATAGATACACAAATATGAAACTAGAAATTCTCAGAACTTCAAATTATTTCTTCATAATATAATTCGTTAGTACAACATAGTTACTAGTTAGTTGTGTATCAACCCAATCTCCTAAGTTTGGGGAAACCTCAAAAGTCAAATGAACCTCACCAAAGTTCGGAGAAAAACCCAAAATTTAAGGGAATTTGGGGGAAATCCCCAAAGTCAAATGACCTTCACCAAGATTGAAGGGGAATTTTGGGGAATTTCCCCAAAGTTTACTATAGCGACTTCCCGAAAATTGAGAGCTCGAGATATGCTTAGCTGGGGCAACACTATAGATATTATTCTAAGATGATGGTCAGTTGAAATATGATGATTAAGCGAGACATGGAAATAATTTAATTGCATGATATTGAAAGAACATTCGAACTGTGTAAGGAAATCAATGAATCAATTGTCAAAATTTTTAGTAGATGCATTAGATAGAATAGTAAATTTCGTAACTGACATCACAGGATGACTTTGGTTAGATAACAACTGAAAATCAGGAAGCAATGATTTCATGACCCTATAGGAGATGGAATCAACGACTTGGAGTTTTGTGTCAAGCGCCGAACGTTCAGATCATTATGCTGGCATCTAATAGTTTACATTTTCGACTTCGGTTAATTTGAAATACTGTGCAACTGGCGTCCAATGTCACACTCAACATGTGAACCGTTCAACCGTTCCGTGATAGAACCAAATAGCCGTCTGGTACTTCCTGATTCTCAATGGTTATTTAACTAAGGTCGATCCATGATGTAAACTACTAAGAGAAGGCATATTCAAACTATTATCTTGAAAAGTAAAGAACAAATATAAACTGACGAGATGACATTTTACATATAGACAGTACATGTCATTCTATTGTGATGTATTTTTAAATAATGCTTAGGTGGTGAAGCTCATTTCACATTTTTCATGAGTCAGATGGATGTACATGCACACTATTTAGTGTGTATGTTAACAACGTGATGGTTCAGAGTAGTGTTATTCATCTCAAGAAGCACTTTCTTCTAAGCTTTTAAATACCAACAGACACCATTTGTTCAACATTCATGAACATCAACAACACCATGGTACAAACCGTATATGGATGTTATTTTTTAAACTATACAGATAGAAGAATTTATTCGTGTACACACTAGTTGTTATCTACAATAAAAAAACACAGTACTTAAGATATTTTTAAAAATATGACAATCTAAAGGACGGAGTATCCTAAAACAGATATTGATATTCTAATAGTGTAGGGAGTGAGGAACAAAATGAAATAATGAAATTCTCTATCAAAAAATAAATCAGCTCGCATGAATTGCTTACTGGGAATTCTTCAGCAATCTTAGGTCCTACAAAAAACATACGAGTTGGTAGACGATCTACGGGACCATAGATTTTACGGAACTCTTCAAATTCATCAAATACCTGTTACAATTAATTTATCAATGTGAATTTTAAAAAGGAATAGTATTCATTAAAAAGGATTAAAAATCAAGCTGAAAAATTATTTCAGAGTTTAGAGAAAAAATATAGGATCATAATTCCAGGAGAAATGACGACCTAGTAATTACTTGATCAAACCACAATCGACTTGCTTTGGTTTAGGGAACTATATAGTACCACTAGCTCTTATATTTGGAATGTAACTTAAAGCTAAGCGACACAAATCTGTTAACTGCAATGTCTACTTTCAAAGTACTATACTTATTAAGTACTTTTTGTAGAGACATAGTGTACATTGGTTGGTGCACACTGTTAAGGTTTCATGCTAGGATGAAGCGAGTGTTGGATCACTGAACGCCAACCAAGTGGCTTTAGTAGGTAAGTATCGCCATGAGACACCAACGTCCTGTGCTCGATCAGTGGTGAATGCAGAAGTGCACATAGCTGAGGGGTCGCAGACTAGTGTCGAAAAGCTGTCAAATGACTTCTGGTTTTCATTGTTACTTCACGTGATATCAGTCTGTGATGAATATATCCAACAAATGAGCTAACGACAATAATAATATAACTGATAATATGTAGTTAAATTATTTCTCCTTATTATTTAGTTCCCAACAATGATTTGATGTCTTTTGTTATGGTCTAAGATGCTAATCAATATCGCGTGCCAAACTCACCAATCGGAATTTTGACTATATTATTCTATATCCTGCGTCTACTGTTCTATCTAAATGTAGCGTCCAAGACCTGAATAATTATACGTTCTGACATGTACTGTAAACCTTGAGCAAACACATAAGCTACACTCCTATTGGTCCTCTCTTCACAAATTTTCCTCTATCCTTAGTTCTGAGTCCGAAAAGAAGTCTGCAGCTAGCATCTACTAAATTATGTTTCAATCATCCAGATCAGTCAACAACTATCCCAAACATCCGTTATCTTACGTACACGAATTATCAGATTGAACCGCATACCAAATGAGTAATAATACTTTAATCACTATCATGTCATAAGTAGCAGAGAGCAAAACAAACAATACATGATTAAGTAGTAATAGTTAAGGAGTGGTAAAACGTACAGCGACAGTTAATGGATCCACTGGAAGCTTACAATGAGGAAATACTGAAATACAATAAATAAAAATAAATAAATACATCATTACCTTAGGATATAGAGCTGCTGACAGTAGATCGCGTTCATCAAAATCTCTTTTGAATTTTTCCTTTAATTGTTTAGCTAATTTATCAAAATCAAACGGTTCCATATGTGAACCAACACGCTCTGTTTTAGCCTTTTGACCTCGCATAATCTGAGATTATTTTATTTTGTATTTTAGGATGGAAAAAAATAAATGAAGGAAAGTTGATTTATGAAAGAATGAAAAAAAGGGTTATTCAAAATCTGAGTGATTGTTTTTAATATTACTTGATTATTAAGAATCAATATCTTTAACTAAATGCAAAAATATTCTCGCATATTTTATTTAAGCGTAATGTTAAGTGGTGTAGGAGTAGATTGAAAGAAAGTTAAGGGTAGATAAATTAAGAATTGTCATCAGTCGAGGAAGTCATGCTGGTAGATCAAAGCTATTTGTTTGTGGTCAGCACGATAATTGTGATCAGCGGTTGTAGACGTTTGGGGATATAGCTAAGAATCGTCCAGTGGCTCAAATGCGTTCACTCCTCTAAATGATGAATTTCATTATTCCATCATTTATACTTTACCAATGCCTTTTTAAACGATATTCTCGAAGTTTAGTCTTTCATATTGTCATGGCTACCACAGTTCGTTTACTATTTAGCTCATTATTTTCAGCTTATTGTGCTAATTTTGTGTGAAAACTTGAGCTAAAGAGCAATTGTGAAAGGTTCGATGGTGACTATAAATGACTGTAAAAACGGTAATGTGAAGGATTAGTGATGATCGATTTTTTACATAATTACCAACTAATAGATAGTAAGTAATGCTGACCAGTGACGAAAACCACTTACAGATGAAATTAATCCTCAATAAAAACTCATCTATAGAGTTTAAATGATATACAGGAGTGGGTAAAAGCTTATTTACTCCAATATTCAGGCAATGGATATCAGCTGTCATCATCAACATACATATATATTCTGTGTACCATTTATCTGATAAATAATTATATTTTCATGAGTTATTATTATTAGAAGGTCTACAGTTACTTATTTTACGAATTGTTTTACATTGAATAGTCAACTGAGTACAAAACAATATCACATTTGTCCAGTCTTTATGCTGATTCAAATTTATTGATAAAGTTGGAGTGCGGTCACTAGCCTAAGTGACTTAATATTGTGTAGACTGGGTTTGGAGGTTAGATAATCTGAGGTAACCGTTAAGAAGTTTGTGATACTGAGTAACAAGGGTTCAAACGTTCCAAAGAGCATTTGTTTGTTTGAAATTGGAGATATCTCATGATGATGAATAGTGGCCAGCATGGGAGCCAGCTACAGGGTTTCTTTTCAATAGCCTTGCATCACCTGAGTGTATAACAAGATATTTGTGTGTAATGATGCGTTAGATCTGAAAAAGATATGAGGTGGATTGATTAGTTAAAACTTCTTTGGTTTTATCTTTGGTCATCTACTTGTATATATTTATCAAATAGATTACACGTGATCATATTAGTTTGTATTGTAATGTTTGTTTTCGATGTTCAGTTACCCACTTTTCAACTGAGTCCTAGGGGGTACACGTGTTAGTCAGTGTTTAGTGATATAAATTACCTACATATTAGGTCATTCTAGCATTTACAACTATGCAGGTAAAGAATACCATTTTATACAATATCAGTCAACCATCTATCTTGCTTACTTACTTACCTTTGTTCTAAGTGGCTCGGGGAATCCACCATAAGGAAAACCAATTTCACCGCTGAAAAATTCAATCACTGACGACGGAAAAGATAACTCTTCAGCTCGATCTAATACTTGTTGAGCTGATAAATCATTTTGAACCATAAATTGAGCTAAATCTCCCACTATTTTTGATGATGGTGTTACCTATGGTATATAAATTGACATAATAGGATGCATAATAAATAAACAAAATTAAATAGTTTTGTGACATGATTAGGAAATTTTCGAAGTAGCAAACATAACAGAAAAAAGTGCCCGATAAATTCGCGAATTGAGATTACAAACAATTTATTCTATGGCATATCAATTCTATTCCTTTAAAAATACTACCCCTCCATTTATGATAACGTACTCGCCTCATTTCGGCTTGCACTGTTCAGAAGAAATATGTCTGCTACTCGAAATCCCGATACTAGCTTCTTAGCCAGTTCCCAGATTCCCTTAAATACTCCCCGTACAAGCGAGCTCCAAATAGTAGAGAAAAGATTCAAAAGTAGGAATAAAAACTTTGCTTCATGGTTAGTTTAGATACAGAAAGCAAGCTTATTTATGGTTTTACGTGTGGCCTTCATATTCTGGGAGCTACTGGAAATAGACTAAATTTTGTAACAAGATAACAATCGTCCAATTAAAATATGACACATAATCCTTGGTCTTGCTAGATGTTTCTGGGGGTTTCCCATTTGATGCCGAATGAGCAACAGTTTTTAAACCTTTTACCAGCTTTTTTAAACTTTATTGAGGAATATCCAGAGGCACCTTAACAACAACATCAACTAGGAAAGGTCCCTAAAGGCTAGGCTCTTCAGGTGTTAACGCATTTTGTTTTTTATTTTATACAGTTTTATTAACACCAAGGTTTTCGCTAGAAATGTATGTACAGACGTTTTCGTTGGTAAATATCTGGGCAGTAAGTCAATGACAAGAAAGCACAAAAAATATAGGAGGTCGACGGTCGTTCTGACTTTGTCTCAAATAAAAATACTTCCATTGCCCTAACTGAGCCGTTTTCTTCACTTGAAAAGAAGTGTTTTTTATTTAATATTGTCTACTCATAAACAGCCTACAATATTTCACAAATTCCTTTCATAATTTTCCAATTTTCACCAGAAACCACAATGCTTAGTATATTCATTGATTCCACTATTTATATATAGCAAACTGACTAAGATTGAAACAATACGAGTCATTAAAATCCAGCTTGGTGGTTCACTGACATTGTAGTGGTCATGAAACCTGACTGTCCTGTTTATAAACATTGTTCAAGACTGATACAGCTTTATATCTCGTTCTCCCAGCTCTTCCATAACGGTTCGACAGTTGATATCAACTTATGATGGAAAATGCCACCAAATATTAATTATTTTACGAAACAAACAAATGAAAGATAGAATATGATATTAAATAAATGGGCTACCCTGAAACAAAATGATAATATTCAAAAGAAATAAAATTGAAAAAAATCACGTTATATATGACAAGAATAGCAATATTAAAAGATTCGATTCACAATCAAGATTAATTTCGTTCAGTTAAGAGATTCAATATGAAACTATAATTGAATAAAAGCTATCGATGATACTAAGCGATATTGAGTTACACCGATCTAGAGAGTCGTGCTCATAGGCATAGGATCATCAACTTCATACCATAGCTGACTGACAGGAGTGCAAGAATAAACTTTTGGTAGTTTTGTGAAAGCCATTTACACTTCGAAAAGGTTAAGTGCACGCCATAATTACAAACCCCAAATCATGAAATGATGTTTCCTGAAGCTAATTTGTAATCATCTTACAGTGAGATGATAGATTATTCACACTCAAAAGCAAGAAGATTCTCCATTGATAACGGATTTCTACTATTACTCAAACGGAAAAGTATTTATTTCATATCTCTTTTCAGAATAAATTTTATAGAAATGTTCACCACACTTTACTTATAAGTGATGTATAAGAAGTATAATTAACTCTCACAAAACTTATATAACTCATATCCATACTTTCATATGAAATTATAAGTGACTTTCAAGATATACTGATTTATCTTATCCTTGATAACTATGAATTCTTCTTTTTAAAAATGTTATTTATTCACAAAAGAGGGACCAGAGAAAAATTGTATAAAAATATGTATGTTCACCTTAATTATATCACCTAAAAGTTGATTAGCTTCAGTATATTTACGTTTCACATTTTCAAATTGATCACCCAAACCAAGTGAATAAGACTGAAACTGTAAATTGGTATATTGACCACCAGGTATTTGATTTTCATACACATCGGCATTACCTGAACGCATAGTTGTGGTACATTCAAATGGTGCATATAAACTTCTCGTTTGTTCCCAATAAGCTGAATAAGTTGATACATCTTCGCTAGATAAACCAGTGTCACTGAAAATTAATAGCGAAGCAACAAAACTTTATATACATATAAGCGCTAAGCGGTTAAAGATATAGTTGCCAATTGTTATCACGACATATCACTAATCTCAAGGGGATTGATTACCCCAGTAGAGTTCAGACTTATGTTACCCGACTTTACTGTCTGAGACGTTAACACTGAAATATTCGCCCCGTGAGTAAATTGTTGTAGAACTATAATGTTCATAATCAATTGATCGCTGAGTAGTAACCAATGTCTTGTTTGTTCAATTCGTTAGTGCTGGACGGAATCTATTGAATAAGTTGTAATGTGAGTTACTAGTACAAGTGACTTGATATCACAGTGCACTGTTTAGATATTAGACGGTTGGAAGTGTTCTTCATCAAACCCTGAAACTAAGCTTCTTGCTAGCAACGTATGTCAGCAATCTTATGGGAACTAATATTCGACAGAATTCTGTTAGCACTAAAGGATTATATGACCACGCTTCAGTGATCTATTTACTGTATATATATACGTATTTAACTTCACTTATTTGAAGAAATCATTTCAAAATATATCTGGAAAGTGCATCATTTCTGGTTAGCTAGAACCATTAAAGCTTCTCATTTTTACAATCTTTAAAACAATCACTATTTTCTATTAATGTTCAGTGAAAACAAACCAGATGACTAAATCAAAGGCCCTTACTATGTAGCCTCAAGTTCGTAACAAGAACTAAAAATTTTAAGTTCGAAAATATAACAAGTTAGTACCATTCAGTGCTGTCTTCAGGAGACGTTAGCTCATAATGTAAAGAAGAATGAAGGATTATTACGCACTTGACACTCAAATCAATTAACAATTAATAAATATCTTGAAATCAAATTTTGAAAAAACACAAATAATTATAACATCAAGGAATGGCGAAGATAATCAAAATAATCGCGCAGACATTGTGATAGGACAAATGATAACAACAACCAATCAACCGTAAAATCAATCAGAAAAAGCTGCTAATCATTAATGGGGTAAATTTTCATGGCTCACTTCTATTTCAAATTTATGCTGTTATCTGGATAGAAAATAGAAGTTTCATGATTAAACCAGCCAGCCCAGAGAACATAATTCTAACAAAAAGATAACTCAATTTTTTAAAGGATATGAACTTGCTACTAGGCCTAACAATCCTAAGTTCAATACCTAGCCGGGTTATGAATATGTACTGCTTTAAAGTCTCATGTACTAGAATGAGAAAACTATTCACAAGCTCTCAGGGTTTATAAATGTCGATTACCTAGATTTACTTGATAATATATGGCGTTATATATTATTTACTCTTGTAATGAGAAATAGATATTTGAACAAATAAAACGAACATCTTCATAATGGATTAAATAAAAACGTTCACAAATATAGATTTATCAAAAAATCGAGTACTCCGAAAACAACTTAATTTTAACTTAATCAAATCTGAGTACAAAGGCAAATATTAAAAATTGATTTCAAAAAAATACATAACAAAACATTGAGACTAACGTGTCAGTATGTTTTAAACAAGCGACAAGGGCGCCCATACTTGGTTGACTAGTTAAACCAGACATACTATCCACAGCAACATCGACAATATCAACACCATATTCGGCAGCTGCCAGTAAACATGCTACACCAGCACCAGCTGTATCATGTGTATGCAAATGAATTGGTATATCAGGATAACGATCTCGTATGGCTGACAGAAGTATACGAGCAGCATTTGGCTTTAATAAACCTAAAATAAATTTTATTTAAAATATTGTAGAGAAAGAATTAGTTAAACTTGAGTATGAATCTTAAATGGAAGTTGACAATGTGTTGATGTGTGTTTCGCAGTCTCACCTTTACTATCAGAGATAAATATATAAAGGGTAAGCATAACTGAAATCAGTTGAAAATCATTCAAAGTATACTAATTTCATTTCTTTACTGCAGTAGGCGAAAGCTAGAAGCAAGATGGGAGCGGCCAACCTAAAAAATAACATCAGTCTATAGTCCCTTACCGCTGGACTGAAATATGTATGTAGGTGCAAACTACGTGGATGGGCTCATAACCAATGGTTTGAGACGTTGTGAGGAAATTTCAACAAACAATTATTCGTGTTAATCAAAATAGTGACTATAACTGACAGTATTACATAGATTCTATTATCATCTACACTAATTCATAAGTACAGTAAAAGAGACTTCACTGGGAATGGATCAAGATATAATATAAAACTATGATACATTCGATTGATAAAGCAATTGCAATGTATTTCTCAAACAATTCAACTCTCGACTATTATGAAATATGTGAATTATCCCATTGTTAATATTCAGTATTGAATTTTGGTCAATCATTGTCTACATATGTGTATTCTCAAAGGATCCCTTCGATAAAGTTATTTTGTTACAAGTTTTATAGAACAAATAGGTTGTAATATGGAATGGGATCCAGGACACGCGTTTCTTTCCACTTAAGACTCATCAGATGAGTATGCTTGATATATCGAACGAATCCGTAAAGGACGAACACATGTCAACAAGAACATAGAAATTCAGTCCTGAATATCAATACAAAGTAAACCCTTAATTAATAACGACCAAAACGTCGTCGCCATTAAACAAGTAGATAATTATATGAACTTAGAAGCTAAGTGGATAACGCGTTAGCGTTTGAAGCGGAAGATACTAAAATTGGGGTCTCAGTGTGAATATTAGCACTAAGATCCAGGTACATCCAGCCGACAAGTCCCAAACAGGACGAAATGCGTGTTCTGGATTTCACTCCCAACCACAATCGATCTACTTCAACTGTTAGATCTCAGGAGGTTTGAACCCTTTTCCAATTAATTCGGTTTGAATAACTAAGTAAGTATATAACTAGTCTCTCACTCACCTATACATACAAACTCATTTGTAAAAATCTATGCTTGAATTAATGAGTTAATATATATAAAGTTTAAATTGTTCTACTCACCTGCCATATCTTTAATTCCTAATATATGAGTCCCGGCTTTGACTAACTGATCAGTTAAATCCATATAATATTTTAAATTATATTTATCAAGTTTAGGATTTGAAAGATCACCGGAATAACATATGGAACCTTCAACAACTCCACCAGCTGTACCGACAGCATCCATCCCCATGAGTAAATTTGGCAAGTAATTTAAACTATCAAATATACGGAATATGTCGATGCCATTTTTTACAGCAACTTCACAAAATCTACCAAATAAAATGATGATAATGTTAAGATCAAGGAAAATAAAGGTGAGGAAGCGAAAACCGAAATTGGTAAAAACAACAACATGACTGCTGTTATAAAGTAAATTATTTCAAACATCAAAAGAGATTGACTGAAGTACTATCAGATGTTGAAATAAAATGAAGATCGTTAGTAGTCTACCTGTTCAGTAATTGACTAAAGTATCAGATTACTGAATGACTTGAATTTGATATTGAATGAGGCTTTTGGTGTCTTCTCTTAACTAAGAAATCATAAACCATAGGAAACATAAGTCTATTACTTTCTGAATTTTAGTCGTCCTCGTTACGAACTGTAGATACGGTCCAGTCATGACATATGGGTTTTCTAGAGTTTGACGGAATCAGCTATGCAATCACTTGACGAATATTTATTACTTACTAACCAACTAGCCAGCTTCACTAAATGCATTGCAAATACCTGCTTATTCGAAAGTTCGGTAAAACTTGTAATCTACGCATATCCTTTATTTTTAAAAGTCAGAACGAACAGAACGAACCAGCATACCTACCCTTTGGTTGTTATTCTGACATCTTGCCCACTCCATGGGTGATGTATTTTAATAAAAGTCAAGTGGGCTTTCCAGATGCATATCGAGATATCGACAGAAATCAAAATCCCTATTCAAAGTGAGTAGGTTAAGAATATGTAGGAAGTTTCATGTTATAGGACTAGAGAATATGTACATAAATCATGCGTATACGGTTTAAGTAATGTTATGTAAACGGTAACATTAGTTAGGCAAATGATTCGTTTGCCCACATAACAGACTTTCTACGCTTAGATTTCTGACTTCCGTGTAATATTAAGATGATCTATCTGGACTATCATTTTTTCAAACTGATCTCAATCCTTAATCAATAAGTGAATAAATAAAGCGAAAATTAGTGTTGGATTGTATTTGGGATTTATATGGATAGTAGTTTGATATTTCGGTAAAAAAATGGAAAACTCTATAAGTAAAAATTTAGAGTCAGTAGCTATTTCATTAAAAACAGGAATGAAACTGTTAAAATAAGGGACAAAGTGAAGGATCCTTTTTAGTGATCAATAAAAATATTACACAGATCAATTCGCATGATTTATGAATGAATAATATTATGATATAATTCAATTTGAAATGGTTTATATTATCTCGTTGTTGATATTTTTGTCTGGATTCTACTGCTCGCCATATTCTATCTGTCCTATATCAACTAGTGACATCACGTCCATATACCAATCAAGGCTGATCATATTTCAGTCAAAAATTACCAAAAATGGGATAATCCAAGTCATTTCAAATTGAATTAAATCTTATACCCGTTGCACAAGTGAGTGACTACCTGAACTCAGTAGCTAAGTGGATAACACGATGGCATTTGAAGTAAACGGTAGTGAGTCCGAGTCCAAGAGTAAACATCAACTCTGAGATGCAGGTACATCCAGCTGACGAGTCCTGAATAAGACAGCATGTTCGAAATTCTACTGCTAGCTATATTCTATCTATTCTGTATAATGCTGAGAGATAAACCTTAGAAAATAAGGTAAACTGGCATTTCAACTTACGAATTGTTTTGCACATCCACCAGAATGATATAAATACATAAAAAGTTACAACTGTTTCTTTGTTATAGATGTTAGAGATATTTTCTAGAATAACATTGAAAATCTTACAACTCGACCGGAGCTAGGATGAGGGATCACGCTCGACACTACTACAAATGCATTTGCTTGAGGACTACACAGTTTTTTTCTCTTTCGTCTCAATAATTTATAATCTTTACACACGCACGCACACATACACACTGACTATTATTATTTATTGACAAAAATTGAATAACTCCTTGATATATGAAGAGATCAACATCCAACTATCTATTGGAATAGATCCAAACAAAATTGTGAAAATAAAAAAAACCCAACAATTTCCATGAGAAACAGGATGAGATTGTGATCTCTGAATCACATACTGTCATTCACTATGCAAAATAATGTTATGATTTTTGTTGATTACACATTCAAAGCATTGGGTACTCGATTTGATTTGAAAAATAGAATATTTTTGGTTACAAGTTTCAATAAAGATGGGTTGTGATTAATAATGGAATTCAAGATAAGAGAGCTATCAGATTTTAGACTTATCAGTTGGATATACCTACAATCAAAACAACAGATATTTGGTTCCATTTTTGATGTGAATATCAACACTGATATCCAGGTATGTCTATATGACAAATCCCAAATAAAGTGAAACACCTATCATGCATTTCACTGTTGGCTACTGTAATCTATCTTTACTAAAAAAAGTAATATGTACTTTTTACTAACTCTGACCCTATTTTAATATATAAATAAATCATTCTAACTGTTATCATGTGCTGATATATTATTGTTGTTTTCATTATAGAACAAAACACTAAAACATTCATATAAACAACATTAGAAATCATTGAAAAGTGAATGCCTTAATCAATATCAATTATACCATGAGATATTAAAGTACAATGTAAAAATAGGGATAATCATGAGAGATAATATGATATAAGTAGATTTTAAGAAATCCAGGTATTTTTAAAATGGAGCTTAATGAAAAAAAAAGTAGTAATAAACTCACAATCTTATAGACTTCATTTTTAATGAATGTTCACAGAGTGAAAGAGAGAGAAAGAAAGAAAGTGAAGCGAAACGATAATCTCTGTTTCAATGATTCAATTAATTGATTAAAGCTGAAAATGTTTTCGCGGTTTCGATGTTTGTTGTGAGAAATTTCAAAGTATCTTGAACACGATATCGAGTCGTTTAGACTAACGGCTGCATTGTAACTTCATTGATAGAACTTAATCAGTACTAAGTAATTAGATAAATATGATGTTAATCACTTTTAATTCCAATTAGCGTTATTTTCACCAAGTTCTTTTCTACGGGATAGGTTTGCTGACCCTATGCCCAGCCCTCCTCTTCCATTCGGGCTTGGAAATGGCAGTAACAATAGAAGAGCTATAGGTGGACTAATTAATTGCTGATTATCTAATGGAACTGAATCTTGATTTTATGTATAATTATAATAACATTATATAGGTAAAAAGATGTGTAGATGAGACTGTCATGCTTTTTGAATACTTATACGTAACAATAATGCATTTCTTAAAGCGTGAGGGAACTAATACTTTCATAGAGATCTGAACTCTATTAAACTAATTTTATGTGTAAAATAACTTGGAATTGGTTTTTCTCCAGCAATGAGGAATTGACTTTCGGATTGGAATTGATTATAATAATCGGTCAGTGTAAAGCACACGACATTACACTGAAAACAAATAGCTTGCATATAAAGTTTTCGATTTTCAAAACTGATCGAGAACAGGTTGAATATATAGTAATGGTAAATGTAAATTCACTAAATAATCAATGAAAATCAATGATAAGCTTAGGGTAAACCAATTTTCTAAAGACTTTGCTCACTTGTATATTATATTATCAGGATAGTTTTTATAACCAACTGCATTTGCACCACGTAGAAGCATTTGAAATGGGATATTTGGAATAACGTTGCGAAGTTGTTCTAAACGTTCCCAAGGACATTCATGAAGGAAACGCATGCTGACATCGAATGTAGCGCCTAGATTGGATTGTTTTTAAATTGATGAATAAAGATTTGAGATACTAATTGTGTTCACGAGAAAAACTTACCATTTTGTCAAAGTGTACACAAACGTTTTATAATTAGATATTTTAATACTGTGTCATTAAAAATTTCTGGAACTAGGTAGTCTGGTTATTGATAGTTACTAACACGATATATTCTTAAAAATACAAATTATCGTAGAACGATATTCTTCAGCTTAGTTATCATAGGAAGGCTTGAACTTAACTGATTAAAATCAACCGAAAACATGGTCATAAATCTGTTGTAAAACGGCTATCAATACTCCAGTTTCTTCTGCGAGTTCTGTAGTTTATAACATGAGTTGAACTTGATTAAGCAATCACTGAAAGCAAGAAAAGCTAGACAGCCATTTCGTCCTGCTTTATAAGTCCTCGAAGGACCCACTCACGACACCACCGGGGATCGGAACCACGACCTTCAGGTCTTGCCACAAACACTTAACCTTAATACCACTGAGTTAGTATCCAATGGTTTACATTTCTAACGCCATTCAAATTGCGATACTGTGCGACTCACTTCTAATGCTATTGATGGATGACGACTCTTACATCCGTTGAGGTTGAACTACACTAACCACAGTTTCTCACTAAAACCTCGGAAATTACCGCTTGAACTTGGCCACTAGTATAGGAGATTGTATTTTGCAACTTACATCAATGATTGTTCTTGGTTACATAACCATCGAAAACTAGGAAACACATGACAGTTATCGCTAATGAGCACTGTTGAGGTATCCTATAATTGGACAAAACAGGCCTCCAATGTTCTGTGGCTTTCGATTCTTGTGAGTTCTTGCTGTAAACTACGAAAATTTACCTTATGAGTATTGACTACGATATGTCGAAGAAGCCTACGAACAGTTCAATGAAAGGAAGTGGCAAAAGATAGAATCACATCAGTAAATGAGTTACATGTCACTCTACAACAAACTGACTGGATTTACCCTGTTTTAATGTATGTGTGTTTACATTACAGATTGATAGCATGATCTGTCGGCCTGATAATAATGCTCATCTAGCTTTAAATAGAATTTTAAAAAGAACTCGAATTACGAGACAGTGAGTAAAGTATTTATACGAAATATTCTTGTCCTAACTAATCTAATTGAGTATTCCCGTTGAAAAAAATTTATAAAGTATTGACGACTTCAGCTTCTATCGATTTCTAGTTTAAATGTACATGAAGACATTGGTTGTTTGTCTGAGTTATTTTGGAAGGTGAAAAATTCCTCTCACTGGAATGACTTGAGGTGTAATAAATACGATAGTTGTACATTCGTGTTCAATCCCAAGTTGATAACAACTGTATGAAATTAACTCATCTACTATTTGAGGATTTGCGCACTTAGTTCGGAATCTTATTTTAAGCATGATAGCGAGTGATACCATACGTTTTGGTAAACCAAAATAGACACGTGCGGGGTTCGAACTCGCGACTTGATGGATAGAAATCGACTTGCTTAACCATTGACCCACAGTTCAACATAGCTGTGAGACTTCTTCACTTATTAATCTAGCTCAAGAAACAACAGAATGTACATTTTATTATCAAAACCCATAGAGTTTTTAAGTATATTAATCCATAAATAAACTATTCCAGTTATGGGTAATGAATGACATGTATGCTACAAACCTGAGTTATGATATAGATAAACAAAATAATACGTGAAATGATTCCCTTCCAATTATATTATTGCTAAAATCTATGAAATAAGTCATAAAAATAATAAGCTGAATAACATAATACAAATTTATTGAACTCTACAGATCCCTTAACATTTTCATTAATCATCCGGACCGAAATGGAATACGGATTATACAAAAAGTTAATATCGGTTATCCAACAGTTTACATATCATAGTTCAAAACTATTGAACAGAAACACCACACAACTGTTCTAGACAGTTGTTAATTAATTTACTCATCGAATATCCTTCAAAAGAGTAATGAATGAGTTCATATAAAGAGTACATAAATTTTTCTTAAAAATAAAATAATAAATTTAGTTATTAGTCCCTTGGATATGAGCTGAGCTAAATGTGAGGCCTTGTAGTAGTAGTAGTACTACTACTATCACCAGTTTCCCCATACCGAAGTAGGCTGAGTAGGGTTCAAACCAGGGACTTAAAGACTGAAAGTTTAATGCCTTAACCATTAGGCTCCCATTCAAAATCGATGATAATCTACTTAACAAAGTTCATTGAGAAGCAAATCATGCAAGTAAATTTTAATTTCATTTATACATCTCTACATAACTCAACATTATATCAAATTTTTATTCCTAAATACTTATAATATTGAATAAAATTTATGACAATTTTAATTCATTACTATCCCAGGAAATTTTTACAATAACATTTCCCACTTTCTAGAATAAAGTTTATGAAGGAAAATACTAGTAAACTGAAGCTGAGAGAATTTATAAAATATACAAAAATATATTTATGACTAAATAACAGAATGTTGTATTTATTCCGTTCAAAGAAAAGTACTCTCTAGCTGAAATAAGCCCAAATTCATTTTAAAATGTTTGAAATATATCAATCAGTCTCCTTTTCAAAACACTTCATATGAATGGTAATACACTTGTGCAATCTCTGTTTCAGTTATTTACGACAACCATAAAAGTTCATGGAAATTACCCTCGATAGTGTACTTACAGGATCATAATTTATCGCTAATGTTGAAAATTCCAAAGAAATTGGAAGATTAAGCGGTGACTTTTGCAGTTAAACCAGTATTTTCTGTTCCTCTCAGCTTTTATTCAGGTGGTAACAACTTTAGGACAATCTCTATATATAACTTTTTCAACTTCAAATGTTTAGCTAAGAATGGATACATAGACAAATTTTCTAAATACAAGTTATTGACAATCATCGTGGTAATGTATTTGGCGGTCAGAAAGCACAAAAGACTGTTGGTACATGAACATAGTATAGGAAGTCTATGGTTTTTCATAACTAACAACCTTAGTGGTTCAGTTCGCATATCTATTGGGCAGTTTATGTATAAGAAAAAATGCTAATATAGAAAAATACCATACCTCCCCAATTTTCTATACTTAATAACTGTGGCATCTGATAAGCCAAATATGGTCCAATACGTAGAAGATCAAAAGTACGTACTCGTGTTGCTAAAAGTGATTGATGTGCATCACGCATAGTAGTATCAGTAATTAGAAGATGAGGATGTGATCTGATAGCTTTGGAAAATTCAACCGGTCCATTTTCTAGTAGTATATTACGCCAACCACGTGGAATACTATTAGCTACAACAAAAGAAAGACAATACCATACAAAAGTGCATACTGTGCAAGTTTGTTCTATCGTCAATGAATATGCATAAAACGTTTACCTATTGCTATATGAAAGGTAACAATATCTCTTTTTGGGTAAAAAAAATCTATGAGCGTATTTACCAACAATTTTTACTTACCTCATGTATTTGAAACAGGTCGATGGGAAACTCGCTAAACCATAGCTAGAGCACAGCCCACTGTACAATACAAATTTAGTTTAGTCAACATAACCAGATTAAGATATTACAGTGAGCTGTGGTGGAGTCATGGCTTAAAGTATTCCCCGTCAACTACCTCCAACCGCTATCTTACATCTCAACATAGTGCACGAGATGTCGAGTTACTTAGACTAGTGGATGTATTGCGAATTCGATCAACACTAAAAAAGACTAGGCAAACATAATTTTGGTTATTACCCAACGATCAATCAATTATATTTTGTACTTAAACTAAATCTATTCTGGTTATATTTACTAATTATCAAGCGTAGTGTAATTCATATTGTGTTTTTCCCCTATTATCTTTATCTTATTTACCAATTTGTCTAGTTTCTTTTTTTAATATTAATACATAAATATTTCAATAGTTGAAATCATGAGCCAATCGAAGCTAAACCACCATGGAAAACCTGAAAGCACTGGACGGCCGTTTCGTCCTAGTATGGGACTCCTCAGCAGTGCACATCCACGATCCCGAGTAAATATGTGACTCATATTGCGTTAACATACATTAAATTACTTCTGAAAATCTTGGTCTTCCAATCGCATGATTCAAACATTAAATAATTCCAATAAACGAATGGAAATGATAATTTTAACTACTCTTGAACTACAGAAAAAATGTTAAGTAGAGTTGAATGGTATTTAACAGTGGAATTCATGATACACGTCTCGACATTAACATCAACGACGGGAAGATACAAACCGTTTCACATAATTATTAAAATGACAATTGGTTAAGAAACGATATGATTCACAGTTGAGGTCAAGGTTACCACAACTAACCAGCTGATAACAAATCAATAATTTAATGCTTTTAGATAAGGTCAACTTAAAAAAAACGAATGATACACAAATGTTCCATAACAAACCAAATACAATAAAAATAATGTTCAAATAAATATTTCATATAGTTCCATGTAGGAGTGAGTTTATTATTATTATTTCTAGTTGTTGGGGATGTTAGATCCCCAGAACTCATTTGGTAAATATCTTATTTTTGCAATTTTATTCTGGAGATTTGAATTTCTTATTTCCGCGCCAAACGTGCCCATTTCCTACTTGAGGAGGGGGACCTTAGATGTCATTGGTTCATTGTCTCTTTTAATATGCTATTTTGTAACTTTTCCCAAGGACATTTTCGTGCTGTATATATACGCTTGAATTGTATTTGTGGTTGTTGTTCGTGCTTCTGGCTGCTTGTGGAATACACTCCCCTCTTCTGAACCTGGGACTTCTCTCTCTAGTTAGAGGGGTTGGGACGCATTGGAATAGTTAGCTTATTTGGTCATTGGGTCACTGGGTCTTCGTTTTATTCGCAGATCAGGTGAACTCGTAATCTCTTCAAACATAACACTATTATTATTGTAAACATAAATATCGCTCGAAAATCACTAGAGATCCAGTTCAGTTCTCTTTATGGATCAACATTATTTAAAGAATTATCACTAAAACCTACATAGGGACGGATTAATTTGGTATATTATTGGCAGCATAATGTTATTTTATATGGTTGTTCGAGTCTGATACTGACAGTACAACCTTACTATCTGCATCTCCAAACAAGCTACAGTAGTGAGAAAACCAAGAGTGAACAGGGAGCTTTAACCGTCTACTCTAAATAGAAAATATATTTACACACAATTCATAAATATATATCTTTTACTATACAGAAAATCAAGTCATATTTTCTATCAATAGCCAGTAGAGTGCATCTATCGTCGTCTCATGCTTATCATTTAGCTGTATTTTTTTTTAGCCTAGTTTATCAAGTTTTCAAAGAATTATCTGTATGTTATATATGTTAAAGTTTTTAGATATTTTTCGGTCCTTTCCAATTAAGAAATTAGGACAAAAAAACTGATTCTATCACATGTAATAATTTAACAAGAGAAAGCTTTTTTTAAAAAAATCATTCATCACTTACCATAAGAAATTTTTGGTACCTTTGGTTCAATGTCAGATGGTGGAAGTTTTGTAGCCAAAAGAGTAGATGGCCCATTAACCATTGTATTACCTATTAAGAAAAAAGAAGTAAATACAAAGTATGTTGATTAACATAACACTATAGTTCTGTGAACAAATCATTTGTTCATTTAAAATAATGATTGACTCTTTCACTGTAGGCTAATTATATAAATTCTTGTAAAAATTGGATAGTGACTAGCAGCTGAACTTAGGAAGTGTGTTTCGCCCTATGTGTGACTCTTCAGCTAGATGGTTTAAGGCACCTCATTTTCAGTCATCGTGTCGTACATAGTTTTAAACACTTTTCTTCTGATCAACTTTAGCTTAAGCAGACTGATATAATTTAAAACTGAGTACAAAATCTTTTAAACGATCACTTAATTTTACTAAATTAAGAAATACCTAGAGTTGTATACATTGAAAACTAGACTAAAATTTAAATACTTATTTATTCGCAATAGAATTACTTCTCATTGATAGTGCGTCTACAAACACAATATGATGCGACAGCTAATCAATGACACGAGTTTTTTAGATAATAAAACCTGCTGTATGATTTGATATAATGTTCTACTATTGAAAGTTCTGACATGTAGTTTAGAGTGAGATTTCAGGAAACTAGGAATAACATTTTTTAAGCTTGATTTGTACATTTTGGTGCTCATATTTAATGCAAAGCTGGAATCAAGCTTCTTACTAATTTAAAGTTTGAGAATAGGCTGAGGGTGTTTTCTCCCCAATGCTTCTGATCATTCGCTATACCTTATAAAACTGTTTATTTCTAAGACAAGTTATTGTATAGACTTTAACTGCATATTTATTAAATATTTGGTTTGTGATATTTTCATATTGCTTTGACTGTAAGCTTTCAGAAAACCCATTGGTTGGTAATATATGTCTTACGGTCCATAAATTACCGTTAATTAAGCACCTATTACCCAGTTTTGTATCACTTACATCTTAGTTATGTACAAATTGTGACCTCTTATTTGTAGTAAGTTATGGTCGTGTAAATGATACATAAAATCATGAGTCGTAATAATATAACGTAGGTCGACTGGCTATGTTCGTATTCCGAATAACCATTAGGGATAGAAAAAGATGAATGGACCAGTAAGCGTTAAGACGTCTGGTTGTTGTTACAAATCATTTATGTTATTAGTTGACGCGAAGATCATTGGTTTGATTGGAGTGAAGGGAATTCGTTGGAATTGATATAACAGTAAAATAGTGATTAACAATGATGCTTCATTGAAGTTACTTACCGATATAACGTAATAGTTTTTGGGCACGTTGTTTAGCTGGAGGTAAATCAAACAGATCAGGATGTTCATCAATAAAATTAGTATCGACAATGCCAGATAAAAATTGTTCATGTTTAATTACATTCATAAGAAATGGAATGTTTGTCTAGTAGGGGAAAATAAACAAGGGAAAAGAAATAGTTTGAGGAGGGAACTTGTGGATACTGATCTAAACTAAAGTTAATTTCCATAAAAGTTATGACATCAGCTTGGGAGAAGTTAGAACTCAAGAAATCTAGAAATATTTTGATCATTGCGAAACCTGAAGGGCTTCTGTTATATATAATGTTGCATTGTATGTTGTTGACGATGAATCTTAAGCTAGGATCAAATAATTACCCAGTACTGATTCAGTTTTAAGTGTTTCTCTAAATGATTGCAGTTTTTAGTGTTTACGTTAACAATCAACAAATGTTTACTAGGTCGAATCAGAAAAATTTCCAGTTAAATATGATATCCAAATAATGAACCCGAAATAAACGAACACAAAAATACTGAGGATCTAGAATTTCTTGTGAGAAATCGTGACATGTCTAGAGGGAAACAGTTGTAACCGATCCCATCAAATGATCATTGAGCTATATCGTAAGTTGATTGCAGCTGAAAAAGTTTCTGTGGAGGCTGATTGAGTAGTTCTAATGGTTAAGCAGCTAATCACGAGGCCTGAAGGTCTTAGGTGCTACTTCTGGCAAATACACATGTACATTGCTAAGGTGTCCCATACTACGATGAAAAAGTCATTCGGTACTCCGTGGTTCTCCTCAGTGGTACTCGAACTGAGATCAATCCGTGACGAATATAACCTCCACAAACAGTGATGGTAGAGAGTTCACCTTAAAACCCGGAAGTCCTAAGTTCAATCGCTAGTGAGTGCACGTACTCACACTGCTGAGGAGTCCTATACCAAGGTAAAATAATTGTCTAGTTCTACTTACTTTTCAGTAGTTATGTAGTTAAAGTTAGTCTGTGATACAAATCTACAAAAAAATCCTTACTATTAATCTGATAACTAATAAACAAGCATAAGCATGTTAAACAAATGATTAAAACCTTATATTTAAAAACATATACTCTGAATAACTATTATTCACTTACTTTAACACCATGTATACGAAATTCCGCCAATGAACGTAACATTTTCTTGGCAGCTAAACGAAAATTACTTGCCCGTGCAATTATTTTAACCAATAATGAATCATAATACGGAGAAATAATTGCACCAGCAAAAGCTGAAGCTGAATCTACACGAATACCCATTCCTTCACCACTTTGAAATACCTAAACGGGAAAGTTTAAATTTTTTAGAAGAACGAAAAAATAGGGAAAATGCTTTTTTTCCAAATACACAGAACTCATTCGTACTAAGAGTTTATTTTACAATTTGAATAGATCAGTTTAGAGTTTATGAAAAGTTAGTACCCTTATAGTGCTTTTTCTCAAGATCAGTTCTCCAATTTTTAAGATTTATTCTACTTTTTAATCAGATAAGCATATCGATACTTGACTGATTATGTCGTCGGTTATCATGATGCTTCAGTGATAAGCGATATACACAGGTGTGATAAAAGATCATAAATGTGCTGAGAATAAATTTTACTCATTTATTTGAACACAAAAATATTGGTATAAAGGGGTACCGAATACATATGCGCCACACAAGTCACTTCATTTGTGTGTGGGCTGTGATACTGTCCGGGTACCCAGACCGAAGCAGTTGAGAACTAATTAACTAAATGTAACGCGACTTTTTAAATAGGTAAATTTATGTCCACGTTTAATGGTTCCACTCTTTTTAAGGCAGCGGTTGGAGGTTTTCGGTAGGAAAACTTGGACCCGGATTTCGTACTATGTGGCACTAGTCAGAATGGCGCACCTGATGATGCCCCCTTTTTATTCTTACACCTAAATATCACTAAAAGTCAGTCCATCAGTATTGGATTACATTTGACAAGTATGAAACACATGCTTGATATTCTGACGTTTTTCATCAATGTTCAGAAAACCTTGCATAATGTGTCAATCATGCAATTGTAATCATCGGATAATGTAATTTCAAAAACAAAATGCATACCTTGTTTTAAATGATCATGATATTATCTTAACCATATTCAAGATGTTTGTAGTTCTGTACACCAACAAATTCTAGAGCATACTGCTATCAATAATCACCATCTATCTCCAATCATTGCTAGTGATTTCAGTCTATTAACAACCTTATCATCGAATTGATTCTCAACAAGTATTCACCCAATAATTGTATTAGATAATGTTACATAAAGTTATATAATTGATCAGTTCACAATACTTCTTTGAAAATTTTAACACTTATCGAAGAAATAAATATTTCAAGATAAAATTAACTAAAATAGTCCCTATATATACCATTAAAAGTATGATGGCATTATATCATTATTAATAACGATTTGAACGATCGCAACGCGTTATTCACTTAGTGACAAATGCGCTGGAATATGAAATGAAAGATTCTGGTTCTACTGTGAATAACAACATTGAGACATAAGTACACGCAGCTGACGAGCCCTAAATAGGACGAAACGAGTGTTTTATATTCCACATCTATCCATAATCTATCTATTTTGTTCTGTCATTAATTACATAAACATTTATGTTACATCCCAATGAGTAGAAAAATTGTATTTCTGATGTTTCACGACTTAAGGTATATATATAATATTAACTTTCTACTCAATGCTCAATTTATTTAAAACTATCAAGTCCAACCTCGGTATTGATAGCTACATATTCTGTCGTTACTTTTAGATAAATCAGATTATTCTAGTTTTGGCAATCGAATGATATCATCAAATCTTGAATTATATATTCTCATTATTACCATTTATTCACGAAATTTACAATAGCCGACTGAAATGTCCACTAATAGGTACGATCATGTGTTGTTTAGTTCGAATAATAAATTGCCCAATCAATTTAGTGAAAGATGAACACACATACACACACACACAAAATTGTTTACAATAACTAAGGTGATTTAAAGTTAGTCTTAGATTTATGTGTGTTTTGTATTGATTCTAGTTTACACACCTGCGTTTCTATCTTGACAATTAATTCGAACAAAAAAAAGCGCTCAAGAACAAAGAACGTTAGAACACAAACAGTTGTGTTCGACATCTTTTTCACCATCAGACTCTTTAGTTATAAATTGATAATGTTGAATTTCACATGGATTAAGTATTATATACTAGAAATTACTAGTAAATCAAACGAATCCCAATGGTAATGTTGAGAAAAAGTTATATATGAAGGGTAAGAAAAAATTGTATGCTTCAAAGTGACGATTCAGTTTTAATCAATAAATTAATATCTTATGTTCAGAAAAATTATTTTGATACAAAATAGGAGTTCAACCGCGTTGAGTGTGCGGTAGTTACCCATCAAAGATAATGGAAAATGATCGAGCAATATTATGAATTGACCGAAGTTAGATATATACATCAGTGGATTCCGGATAAATAGTTTAGAGATTAGGCCGTTCGAGCACGAGATCGAAGATTGTGTGTTCGATTCACATGTGAAGTCGTAGATGGTCACTATTGATGAATTTCCATTTTAGGACAAAACAGCTGTCCACTGCTTACCGCTTTCTCATGATTGTTTAACTAAGGATAATCTGTGATACAAGTTATAAAACAAGTCCTATTCTTTCTAAGAGAGACCTACATAAGATATAGGGATTTTAGGGAAGCAACATTGTTGAAATCATTACTACATAATCTTTACGAAATAAACGTGTTACAGTAATTCCAAGCTTTTTCCATATCTTGTTCGTCACAACTTACTTCAATACGTCCAGAATCAGGTTGAAATTGTTTTGCTGGATCTTCAGTAGTAATACGACATTGTATAGCAAAACCATGTGGTTCAATTTTATCTTGACATAAATTAAGATCACTTAATGAACGACCTTCAGCTAGACGAATTTGTGATCGAACAAGATCTACACTACAATTGAAAATAAAAATTAAGGTGATGAACAAAATACAAATCCCCATTATTGTGGTACAAAGCATTTTTCTATACATGTGATCAGCTTTCATCTTGCCCAGTCAATACTTTGGATACAATTGATTGGCCTTTGATTAGTGACTAACATTATGTTTGTTTGGTTCTTTATGGTGCCGATTGACTTCTACATATATGACCACTAGTCTAAGTGACTTAACATCGTATTTACTGTTTCTAAGTTTGATGGTTAGAAGCAGTCGACAGAGGACCTTAAACCTAGATTTTATGGTAAGTTTAACTCTGCAATTAGATACGTCTCCGATCTTAAGAAATGATGATCTCTATGGGATATGAACCCACCTCACCTGCGACACTACTGAGCTATTCGAGCCACAATTAACCTCCTGTAGGAGTGAGATGTATTTGCAACTGACTGGTCACTGAGCAGTAACTAATGTCCTATTTGCCTGGTCTTTTAGTGCTTATAGAATTCTACAGATCAAGTTATCTACAAAAAACACAGGAATCATTACTCACTAACAGCTTATAATCTTAGATACACCTGTGGTCTAAAGACTGAAATCAAATGTTTTTGCTAACTGTACAGTGAATAAATTTTTAGAATCGTTCATTCCTCTAATGTCAATAATCATCCCATTATTTATCAGTCAGTCAATAGTATTGACGGCTCATAACCAGTGCACTAAATAATTGTTTTGTAGTGTACATGTTATTATTATTACTTGACGCTGATTTAGTGGTTGTTTCGGTGGATTTTTTTCAAATAGACTATTTTTGTGGTTACTTTCATTACCGCTATCCATATTGTTATTGATTAATTCCAGATTATAATGTTCGGAAGTGAGATTATGTGAATAAATGAATTATTATTTAAGTAAATTAATTTAAAAACATAATTATTTAAACAATGAAAAATTATATTGTTAAGATAAATATCGTTTCGTAGGTTGTATTTATCGTAGATCGATTTCGAATGGGGTACCACTGAAAGAAACAAGGGAGGATAAGACAGTTGTTTTTTTAGATGAAATTGGTTCAGCAAAGAGATCCCTTTTCAGAGAATCCATTTTCAAAGTTGTACAATCGCAAATATAAATAATTTTTTTTCAGGATGATAATAGTTACAATAATAATGATAATAAACTTCTGTTAGACATGGTGACAGTGAGGCAGAATAAACAAAGGTATTAAAAAAATTTAAACAGGGAAACTAATAATCATTATATATGAAAATTATATTTGAAATAATCTCAGCGATTGAAATTTAAAATAATTCCAACGTTTTGTCCAGCTAACTTGTCTGGACTTCTTCAGGGTAACAATCGAGATCAAAATCATCAAAGCAATATATGGCGTTTAACAATCAAATCAGATCAAATCTATACTGTATTAATCCAATCATATTTGAATGTTGACTTTAGTAAATAGGATAACATGAGTTCACGATGTGAAAATCTGTGAGGACGGTCCACCCGTGAACTGGAGGAAGCTCTAATAAGCTCAGAAAGAGCCCAAGATATTTCATTCAGCCATCTTTTGGAGGAATATTCCAGAATCCCCACATTTAGCTTCCCTATTGGACAATGCTAATAACCTCTTGTGTGCGGATCGGATAACTATAATGATGATTTCGTTTTTACTAAAAACTATAAATACCTGACAGTTCTGCACCATAATTGACACCGTTTGGAATAACATTCCTCTCACTTGTCTTCTGTCCTCTCATTTGCAACTTGGGAGGGTTCTAGTGATCGAATGCTCAAGTTATAAGCGGCATATTAATAATCTAAGCTCTAGATCTAACAAAAGCAATGATTGAATGAATTGTGTGTGTGTATTTTTAAGATTGAATTATTAGTTATTGATATTCGGTGTTAATATGTTTTATATGAAGGAATAAATAAATAAAATAAAAGTGCAGGTTGAAGGTTGAAAATTGCTTCTGAACCATTGATAGGCATGCAAAAAGAGAACCATCAAATACATAATTGTATTGCTCAAAATAAATCACATTAATTTTCGTCAGTACAACGATGCATATGAAAAAAAACGGGTTGAATAAAGAAAGGGTCCAATTACTTGTTAACGAAAATTTGCCAAGTAGTTGCTAGGTGAATACCATCCTTTCGGTTCAAGATGTTCTTGTTTGCCCATATATACAGCGCTTCTGCTGCCAATCTTTCTTTATGAGTGTTAAAACCTTTATGAAGTATTTTAGTCCCTCTAAAATAATTCTTGTTTCCAACGAATGTAACGTTACCGCAGACTTATTATTAGTAACTCAATCTTCACATACATACACACACAATTCGTTCAGTCATTTATTTTCACATCGTGAACTTTTCACATGATTCACATTTAACCGACTCATGTTATTCTATTTACTAAAGTCAACATTCAAATATGATTGGATTAATACAGTATAGATTTGATCTGATTTGATTATTAAACGCCATATATTGCTTTGATGATTTTGATCTCGATTGTTACCCTGAAGAAGTCGAAACAAGTTAGCTGGACAAAACGTTGGAATTATTTTAAATTTCAATCGCTGAGATTATTTCAAATATAATTTTCACATATAATGACTTCTCTATACTTGGTGCCTAATTTTTATCAACCTATTCGTTCTAATATTTACGAATATTCGTATAAATTATTTTCCAATTAAAACTAAAAATCGCCACCATCCATCTTTCCTTAAGGCGATCTCGAAGCCATCCACACAGGATGCACACATACCGCTATCATAAAATTATTTTAACACAATAATAAAAGGCGATTAAAACGATTGAAAATGAAAACATTACATTCACTTCAAACTAACCCTGTAATTTCTTCAGTAACAGTATGTTCAACTTGAAGACGAGCATTGACTTCAATGAAATAATAATGTCCAGTTGTTTGATCATATAGAAATTCAACTGTACCAGCATTTTCATAACTAAAAGATTAAAAAATATATAGTAATAATTAGAAAAATAGATCTAAAACAGTTTTAAAAATGTTCATGAGTATTACATTTAATAGGTTATCATACAACAAACTAGCCATAGCTTATTGATAAACTTATCAATTAGAGTTTCGAGTAAGGCATCGCAATATTAATGATTTCCATATACATACTATCGTGACATTGGCATATGGAACAAGTATCTGCTATGATGTGAGTTGTTCGAATTCGATACAGATACGCAAACTTTATGTACACTAGTTGGAGTCAACTAGTTAAATGGGGAAACCGAGACTGAAACCGAAAAGTAAGCTTTATTGACCAAAATCGAATAAAGAATATATATGTATACTCATTTACAGATGTATATCTTTCTCTCTTGAAAAATGAAGTTATATTTTCAATCAATATGGTGTGCCTCTCACTTTAGAAATTAAGACGGAATCTCGGTTAATGACCTGTGTTTATCTTTTGGCTTATGTGTGGTTGGTTCAATTTACCAGCAATTTTTTAATTTACTTCTTAAAGCCAAGTTAGTTTAGATTTGAATAGTAGTTAGAATTTTAATCGAAAATATTACTGTGATTCGAGTAACTGCTATATAAGATAATCGATCCTAACTTTTGATAAAGCTTTGGTTGCAAAAGAATCATGTTTTATAATCCGGATGATAACATTTAAGAATCAGTGAATGACAGAATCATTGTTCAATTAGAATTCTAATTGGAACTAAATTGTGCATCAATTGACTACCACCATATTCTAATGCTAGTGTATCTCCATTTTCATCATATAAATCTTATTAAGGGAATTAGGGCCAAGGAAGGATGAGAGGTTGGACGAATCGTTTCTGCACACAAAGTTCAGGCTTGAGTTCGTGGATTGCTAATGCCTCAGCAGTGCATGAAATATTGATTTGACACCCCTTCGATCCAGTTCCTTTGACTCTGTAGATCACTTAATGGTATTTATATGATGAACATGGAGACACACTTGCCTTATAATATGGCGGTAGTCAATTAGTGCACAATATAAATACTTATGGAACTAAATTATTTCTGAAATTCAGATTCATTATTTTTTGTACAATGAATATGAAGAACAAATTGTTAACACCAAAGTTGATAATATGAATCAGTCTAATTATTAAGTTAATCTTTCACAAACAAAATTTAGCATTAAATTGATCTAAATTAAAAATTTAGATAGTTAAATCGTTTGTTCTGAAGTTTAAGAATAAGTATAGTACTATCGAAATTTATTTCTAATATTTACACCACCACATCTTCAATGTAAACATTTACGTACTTTCTCCCCATAATATTGATGATTTGAAGAATGATATCATTGGTTACTGTCACCTTAGGGTGGATATAAAATATCAAAACTCTGTGGAAGAACTGGTTCCTTCATAACAACGAGCTATAACAATCAGTATGACACTATTCTACATTCTAGTATCAATGTGGTCACAATCACGAAGAACGGATTCTTGAATATTTTGTTCCTAATGGCATTTCCCTCACTATAAGGGTTAAAGTACTTATTTAGAGAATTTGAAATAAGCAATATAATTGTCGTTTCACAATTCGTGAATGCAGTCCTCTATCATTTAGAATCAAAAATCATACTTGAAGTTTGTTTGGTGGGAAAGTAATTGGAGAGTGTTAAGTCACTTCATGTTTTTGGTACGACTATATTCAAGACTATGGATTTTGTGTACATTTTAATATACACGCGGCTGTACCCAAAGGACATCTTTAATATGTAGTAAAAATATGTTCTATCAGTCAACTCTTCCAGGTGAAAAAAACATACATTCGTCTAAATCGATTAAATGAAGAGAACTATGAAAAAACTTAAAAGTTGTATGAACATGAATAATTTCCTTAAGTTCACTTGAAGGCTGAATATCGACTGTGAGAACTCTGCAAACACCAAACAAATAGAGCACGAAATCAGTTCTCTTAACAGCCATCTATCTTTTGATTCTATATATTATCAAATTGTATTCAGATTTACCTCATATTGAAAATTGAACAAGTAAATTCCCCTTTTATTTCATATTACGTTTATTTTTTGTATCTTTATCCATGAAAAGAATACGCGTACTGTGTGCTGCTTTGCTTTGATTCCCTAATCATATTTAATATTGATTGCTTGATGATGAAATATATTTAACGAAGAGTGCATACGTTATAAAGCAAAACATACTATTTCACGGATTAATCGAATAAACAATTAAATGAACAAGTCTAGGTAAATCGAAATTTCTATAAGGTAAGGTATTTCTTTTTTTACAACATAGCATTTGACTGATAGATTTCATTATCAATTTAACATGATTTGTGCAAACTATCACTTATTTTACACACATAGAACCCTTAGAGCTACTAGTAGTTATAAACAATTTGACGGAACAGACTTAGCACAGCATTTATAGTCAGTCAGCCAGTCAGTTACAACGTAGGACCAGGCACATTTATGCATCGGTTCAAGTTGCCATACTTCATCAGCACAACAAGATAAACACCGAATTCATAGGAGTAGGTAATTTAATGGTGGTAATATATAAAAGAAAGATTGCATATAAGGATATAGTACAGGAAACAGAATTTATAACTATCGGTTTGACATGATTTTCATTTAGAAGTAGGAAACCTTTTAGAGAGCAATATTATGATTTTATTAAGAATACAATAATATTGAAAGATAATTTTATAAATAAACATAAATAGTAGTACAAATTACAAATATCCTATAGTTTAATACATCATGTTTCTTGTTACAATTACTGACTGGTTGAATAACAATCTCAAGATATAGAGAATCGTTAACCAGTGTTTATTGTAATCTGTTGAGTTGGCTTTCGGAGAACTTCAACGGAGCCTCCAGAAGCCCAAAAGGAGCCGAAGAGTCCTAGTCAATCACAGCACGATGGAGCATTCTAGAATTCCAACGTGGCGTGCTACTATTGATCAGTAGCATAAAATGTCGTCAACGGATTGGCTGAAATATGATGTTGATTTAACAAACGTTAACATCTATAAATACCCATGCTTTTCTGTACAAGAATGAACCTTGGAGTAAAGTATTTTCTCTCATACTTACGTCTTCTCTCTGGTGTTCAAGTCGCTGTGTAGTTCTAGCGTGTGGGTTACCAAAATAGCTTAGGAAAACGAATATAGCGTTCAATCGTCAAGACTTATCATAATCATTTATACTTTCTATTAATTCTAGTTACTGATATCACGAACCAACTTAAGTCAAACATTCAGTAAAAACGGGAAGCACTGGACAGCTGTTTCGTCCCAGCAGTACACATTCACGACTCTATCTTGGACTGAATGCAGGACCTACGGTCTTGCATTCAAATACTTAATGTCTAAACCGCTGAATTGATATCTCGTGGTGTACATGTTTAGATTCAGTCGGTTCGTATGGTTGTGTAACCATCTACCATTGTGTTCGGTGGGGAATTGTGTCATACTTAATACGTTTGAACTCCACTGACCACGTCTCAGGGGTCTATAGGTCAAGTGCTTGAGCGTGAGACCAAAGATCCAGGGTTAGATCTTCGATGAAACAAGGACATATAGTAATTCATTTATTTACCCACTAATTATTTACAGACATCAAAAACATATCATTGCAACTTTTATTCACTGGTATAGAGTCATGTGTTAAATCTTCACATTTAAGTATGAGATAATATTTATATCTTGATACACTGATCTAACCAGAAGTCGCCTAAATGATAAATGCACGTAATTGACCAGGAAATGGTTTTTATTTCTAAGGTATAAGACACTGATAGCTCAATTATCTAAGGGATATGTATGAATGAATACATGGACATGTGACTCGATTTTGCCAATAAACTTCTTATCCTACTCCCAGTTTTTTTTTCACTCGAGTACTAAAACTGGCCGTTATAGAGTTCTACCTGTTGGTTAATGACCGGTCTAAGATTAATTAAAATACTACTATTTTAAACAGTAGAACTGATGATTTTTTTAATCATATGATTTTAAAAGGTAAACATCATAAGCATTTATACAACCAGATCGTTTGATAAATTTAGATGTAGCAAGAACAAAAAGGTTTGCACACTTTGTTTAAACATTTAACATTCAATCAAGAAAGAATTGGCTCCATTTTATTTGACCAATCATAATGTACATAAAAACCATTTACAATTGATCAGATAATTATTTCAATAAATGGGAAGTGTGCATCCGGACATAATGAGCACCAGTTTTGATAACAATTATATCAAACTCTATTTTCCGATTATCTATAACCGTTCTCATAAAACTTACCGGCAGGGAAAAAGAATTGAGTCTCTGTTGATTCATTATTAACCGGAAGTTATGAGCTTATTCCGAGACCTGAAGGTGCCCGATAAAAAGGGGTGTAGTATCCCACCCCTGAACAATCCTATACTAGAGACGAAACGGCTGTTCACTGTTTCCACGTTTTAATAGATGTCTAACTATGGTTAATCTGTTATGTAAAACCACAAGATCTAACGATCTCCATAACTCTCCCTACAGTAAAAATAATTACTAATGACAGTAGTATAAGTCTAATAACAAAAATATCATATGATCAGAAGCACATAAACATAGATATAAACTAGGTAACCAAGTTATCATAATTGAGGTCAGTTACATTTTTCTTTTGTTTTGAATACAGAAACGTTAAGTGACACAGTAAAAAATTTATTTGTAAATAAACAAACTCATTTATTATGTACAAGTGGTTCATGATGTAATTACCTGTGAGCCATACACGTCTTTTTTAATTAAATGTTAATGACATGTAAGCCGGCTGTAAAAATAGTAGTAGGTGGGCAGGAGTTGAACAAGCAGCCAGCTTTGTTGAAAGTCAAGTGACTTAAAATCAAATTGCAGTATAATAAATATAGTATAAAAAGCTTTTATATATTACACACGAAAAATATAGTTGTAATTTTGAACATACTCAACAGAAGAAGCCAATCGTACCGCATCGTTTAATAATGATTTACGGACAGTTGGATCTAGACTAGGTGCCGGTGCAATTTCGACTAATTTTTGATGTCTACGTTGAACAGAACAATCTCTTTCATACAAATGTACAACATTCCCATATTTGTCACCTAAAAAAAGCGAAATTTCCAAAAGTAGCAGAAAAACATACTTCCAGAAAAATGAAGATTCTTGATGATAAACAGGATGAAAGTTATTAAATTTTTATGTATTGGATAGATGCATCTCACTAACTTACTCCTGACTTGTTCAGTTTCATGGGTTACTATTACTTACTGTGACTTTTAAGAATAAACAATTAGTACTAAAGTTCAACGGTTTGTTAAAGTTACATTTTCCGAATTTAAAATAGATGGTAGTTCTCATTGTGGATCAAAATCAGTTAAAACCTAGTTTATAACTCTTCAGCAGTAAGTGCCACTGGACCACACACTAAATCAAACTTGAAACTTCCCAGTTACTCTATAGGCGCAAAAGCATTTAGTCATTTAGTTGTAACCTAATGGGCAGTTTATGATAAAAAATATTTATTTAAACAAGCTATTTCATTCGATAAGCAAATATGCGATTAGTTTACGTAGTGTGCAAGTGGTTTTCATTCTCTGGTTGCTCAAATTGTCGAAGGATACTCATTCTTGAGGGACCGAGAAAGAACCCGGACTAGTAGTGGCCTTAGCCACATAGTAGTATGATCTTAAAGCACAAGGGATAACTATCTGGGCCAGCTTCACATGGAATTTTCGTGGGTTGTTCTTGAAGTGTTAGACTTTTTTTTAAAGACCTTACCATCGATGACGGTAGTTCATGAGGGAAAGTGAACTACGTTATTTTTGGGCCCAACCTCTTTTAGCTTTTTTCTTTTGCTGTGATAAATTGGAATCACTGCAGATCCTGGTTGTGTTAGGGAAGTACCTCACTGCTGTCAAATCCCCCATACGGTCAGCAGTACAAATTTGCCCTTCTCAGGCCTTAAGTTTCCCTTTTTAGTCCTGACGTTCTCCAAACGACCTGCCTAGAGCAGTAGGACCTAAAGCGATGAGCATCCTAGTCAATGTAGATTGACTAGGTCATCAAAATATGCAAGCCCGTCCACTAAGCTAGGGTAACAGCTACGGTTAGGAAGTAATTATTCAATTCACCTTAAGATAATTTAAATGTGTACACATGGGCAATTCGGTTTCAGAAAGTTGTAAAAAGCATATCAGATGGGTTAAAAGCTTTCAGTATGCACAGCAAAATCATTGTTACAATGAAATCCAATGACAACAACAACGCTGGTATGGCGAAAAGATTCAATATGTAAATAAACTAACCTAAAATCTGGACTTCGATATGTCTAGGTCGTTCAATAAATTTCTCAATGAACATTGCACCATTTCCAAAAGCTGCCAACGCTTCTGATGAGGCTAATTCAAAATTTTGTTTTATATCCTACCATAAAACAAGGTTAAGCATGAAAAAGAGATAAGCACATCAAAATTGAGATATAGAAAATATACTACCGAAATGTTTTTAATAATAATAGTAATAATAAAAACAATAATAATAATAAAGGTCGAGGTAACTATAACGATAAGACGTGCTTCTTTGGTACACACAATCCTGGCTTGAGCTCATTGGTGGCAAAAGCTTCTGCTGTTTTAAGAAGTTGGATACGAAGAAATCAGGTAGATTCGGAAGAACTGTATAAACAACATATAAACTTGTTTTATGTACTCGCAAGAGATAAGCTTCCCCGTCTGGTGTCTTCCATGTGCACCTACTAGTTCACCTGCTCTTGTAGAGCAAAGTACATAAGCCTTAGCCAGTGCTTGCTTTCAACTTGGATACGAGAACATGCCCCAGTAAGGTTGTATAAGGGTAAGAGGAAAGCAGTTAGAAGTTCCATTCCTGAACATCTAATCGCCTCTAATCATTCTATCGATACGCAGGTTAGTTTTAAGGTTTTATCAGTTGAATTCACGAGTCGATCTAAGCTACATCACCATTGAAAACCTGGAAGCACTCGACGGCCGTCTCGTCCTAACATGGGACTTCTCCACAGGTGGAACTGAAACCCAGGACCTTCTGTCTTGCGTGCGAACGCTTAACTTCTAAACCACTGAGCACACTAATGAGGGGTCCCATACTAGGACGAAACGACCGTCCAGTGCTTCCAGGTTTTCAATGATGGTCCAGCTTTAATCGACTCATGAATTCAACTTTTAAATTACTACAACCTCCACAAACCTCCATTCTGACAAAAACATTTTAATGACCTTCATTCACATCATAATCTGTTGCTGACTTATTAATCTTACAAGACTTTCTATTTGCACGCACATATTTTATTATTATTATCTACATTTTATAACCTAGTATTATCACCTATCTATTACATCATCATGTATATTGATTGATCTATTGCCCTCACAGAATTAGCACTTACAAAATTTTGTATTCAAAAAAGATTTTTAACAGTTACAATATGTCACAAGTCTTTAGAGACAAGCTTTTCTACCAGTTCATTTGGCATATCTACTTTTTTCATCCATAATAAAGAAGAGATGCATGAATCCTAGTATATTAATCTCCTTATTTTCCTTAAAGGGTAGATAGGGAGAAGAATATGTCAGCAAGTTTAATCTTTCAATATGAAATTTCCGATATTTAGCATTTCACTAATTTGTAAGGCTTTTCTGATGGCTGATAAGTATTCGCGGCTCGTGATGAAGATTTTTGAGGTATTATGTTCACTAAGCTCGGATAGTTAAATTATTAAGCTTTCATAGTTCTTTTAAACATTATCAGAACATACGTTAAATACTTTACAACGAAACTATCTAGCTCAGAAAGCAGAACACAGCTAAAAAATATAGACACAATGTTTGAACAGATAACACATTGAAGAAAGTAGCACAAAGTTATTTCCTTTATACCCTTTTTTACGGAAAGCTGGATTGCTTTTAAAGAAGATAACTTGATTAACTGAGATAAACTTTGTTTGAACAAAATGAATCCCATGTAAAGTAGTAAATGGGAGAGACGGGGAGAGAGAGTAACAACCTTTATTCCTCTTAAACCAGTGTCATAGTTTTGATACATTGTAAAAGTTATAATAACATTATAACTAAATATATACGCAGTATTTGGTTTGTCTGATCAAATTTCTTCGTTATTAGGATTAGATTGAGCTGGGAATACGAATTAGAATAAGGAGTGTGTCTAAAATCATTGTTCAATGAGATATCACTGATAGAATTATTTATCTTTTATCAAATTGTCATATTTTCTGCGGTTATTTTAACAAAACCATCTTATAAATAAATTTCAACAGTATATGGTATTACATGACTTGGCGTCCGAAAAAAGTTACACCTCCACTAATGTGAAGTGGAAGTCACTTTTATTTCATTTAACTGGTAAACAGACATCAAACTCTTGTTTTTCTTCAAATTAATAGACAAAATGTTTCTCAAATTACCTTGAAAGTTGTTTCAACAGTTGATCGACTAATGATGATTATCTAGTAACAAAGTCACCTTAACATCCTTTAGCATCTAGCGTTAAACGTTCAAATGAAAATGAGGTTTAGTAATTTAGACGAATTATTACCTCACTTTGAATGTTTAGATAGTATTATAAATACATACATTTGTATACGGTATGAATAAAGTTGTTTTCTTAGGTAGTTGAAGGTAGCTTGGAAAGAAACCCTACTCTACTCAGGTTTCATAATAATCTGGACTTGTCAGCAGGATGGATCTGCGATTTCAAGGGAACCGATGGTTTCTGTCGGGTTCAAATCCACCTCACCCAGTTTTACAAACTGAGTTGGTAACATTGAATTATTCAGGTCCTGATTGATATTCAATAGGACTGAGATACTTACGATCAAAGTCTACCGACACATTTGAAATATGGTCACTAGTCTAAGTGATTCGACATCACATGCATTGTGATATCAAAATGTCAGGTAGTGTAAGAGATATGTAGTTTATTTACACTAGTGACCACACTGCAACTTGATCGAGAGAATTCGATCAGTACTTACTTGACTAAACAATAATGGCATTACTCACTAGTCGATGATCAATTAATTGCAAATAAAGACATTATTTGCAGAGTGATTGTATCTTCATGTATACAAACAGAAAAGATTACAAGTATTTAAAATAAACAGTTTTAGTTATAGTAAATTAAATTGTCAACCTTGAAGCAGACTGCTATACACTGATATAATGGTCAAGGTATAGATTTCCTCCAATTGCCAATGATATATAATCATGCGTATATTTCGGTAAATATTTTATTAAGAAAAAAGTCTATTCTGCAGGGCAACTGTATTGTCTTTTGAGATTAGTTTGATTGTTGGTTTACTTCTATAATTCAGTCTCGTACGCATCCATCACCTCTGGCCACTTCATATTATTGCATGTCATTTATCGATCGGCATTCCTTTTTTTATTTTAACAAATGGAAATCTGTTTATAAAATCATCAAAATCCTACTTCATAACACACGTATTGTATAATTCACTCTCAGTTGTTTGAATCACGAATTATATTTTCACTTTACATTCTATGCAATTTGATTCCTAAAAGGATAAGTATTGGTCACTGTTAACTGTATTACTACTACATCAAGTTCAAACTTGAAGTAAAACATTTTAAGCTTTTGAAACCTTGGAATGTTTGTACGTTTTAAGCTGCATTTACTAAAAAAAAACACTTTTTAAACATGGAAATCCTTGAATCTCTCCTAAGAGTATAATGTGAGATGGGATGATTATAGAGAGGTGGGTTGGTGATTAGGGAGTTCAACTACCAAACACTTAGTACTGGGTTCGAACCCTGCCCCATCCACTTCGGTTTGGACAACCGGGTAGTATTATTAGCCCTTACACTTAGGGTATGGCTCATACCTAAATACAAGGCGAATGAGTCAATTTAATTCTTTATTTTTTAAGTGTGATTGGTCTGAAGTTATCCATTCACTTTTCAATGTTCAATAAGTGTACAGTATCCAATAGTTCCGGGGATTTTGTCCTTCATTTAGTAAGTGAGTGTTGCATATAAGAGTGCAATTTTCACTGAACATTTCAACTCAAGATCCAACTTTCACTGTATTCTTGTTTTTATAAACCATGTTAGGATGTATTGCACCGACGAGTTTATAGTATATGGTCATTGATGACGTTAAATGCTTGAAATTAAATCACCAGCAAAAATGACATTCTATACGCAGGACTCACCTACTAAATGAAAACAGAAACGTCCAAAAACTTCTAGATATAGCACAGTTACTGAACATAGAAAAACGAAAAGATGACCTCACACGTGTAATTGACCTACATCTGTACAAATAGCACTCAATTTTCAGTTATAGATTAATAGTCATACAACATTACCACACATGCTCTTCTTTCTTTCTCTCTCTTTTGGTTAACAGGTGACAATTGTCGATTCCTACAAAAATAAGCGTATCGCATATGAATTTGACCATCGAGTTGTTGATAAATGACACTGTATCGATAATTACAATTTTTAACAGGATAGAGTCCTGACTGTTGAATAGTCTAGTTAGGTTCAACTTGAAACCCATTGATTTATCCTATTTCCAATTAATGGGCACTGGTGGACGAATAGAGATGTGAGAAGATTCTTATGTAATTTTTTTTAGAAACTCTGTTTTATTTCCCTCTCAAATCTTACGATGATTTGGGAAGAATTTGATAAAGTATACCTCTCAATAAATACCAGAAGATAGAAACAAAAATGACACGGCAATTGGTGACTTAATTAATTGAAGTGTGATTAATATGTAAAATTGATCGTCTGTGACATGTAGTTCCATTTTGTGAAGGAGCAATTAGATAGCTTGGTCAATTATATATCTGTTGGTTATACATGCTTAATTGTATATTATGAGTTCACACAGTAAGTTATTGACTAATTAATGTTAGATACTAATGAATTAAATTTATATAAATTTGACTGTAAGTATATCACAAAAAGTAGTATATTCATAGATCATTTTGGTTTATTTTCGGAGTCAAACAAACCCTTTTCTTTTCGTGTTCCTTATTTTTATCATTCAATTCATGGTTTTCCAGTACCAAGCCAGATAAGCATTTCCATGGAAATAATAAAGAACTTAACAACAACTAACATATATATTTACATCTACACAAAAACGTACTTCAAGTCTTCGAACTACACGCATACCACGACCACCGCCACCATAAGCTGCTTTGAGTATAACTGGTAATCCATACTGTTTACAGAATTCCATAGCTTCTTCAGAAGAAGTAATCGGTCCAGGACTTCCAGGAACAACCTGAATAGAAATTATTATAAGAAGTTGATAGTGAGAAAGTGAACATTTTTGTTGAAATGGAGAATAAAGTAAATAATGATAGAATTAAATGGTGTGAATCTAGTCATCATTGTTGGTTTCTTTTCTGCTTCCAGTATTTAGAAAAAGTTTACATTGTATGTTAAGTCTGTTGTGACTTAGATTATATATATATATGGCTAGCAGTGGAAGCTTGGCTGGGTGTTTTGTCCTATTTAGGAATCGCTAGTTAGATGTATCCGTATTTCAGTGTTAATATTGATAACTTATGTCAGAATAGCTGTATATCGAGGCGAACCGCACACGATATTCATATGTTAACACAAAATGATCAAAATTCAGTCCTGAATATTATAAAAGAGATACCTCGAATGTTTACCAATAATGTTAAATATTAGTTTCAAACTTATCATTAACAGTGCACATTAACGACTGCACACGAGATTAATCCTGAGATCTTTAAATCCTTACGGTGAGCACGATACCTTTAGATACACTGAGTTGAAATTATGTAATAACCAATGATTAGTTTTAAGATAAATTCGTTGAAGTTCTGGGAAGAGGATGTAATCTATAAGGTCTGGGAAGCTCCTAATGATCGACCCTATCAGTTGGTAATTGTGCTAGGTCATAAACTAACTGAAGTTGAAAGTATTAGGAATTTGTGGAGATTGTGGTGTTATCAGTTTCAATCACGAGCTGATTTTAGATAGATCACCATTGAAAACCCGGAGGTACTGAACGACCGTTTCGTTTTGGTATGGGACTACCCCAGAAATGTCCATTCATGACCATGGATGAGGGTTGTGCAGTATCGCGGATTGGTTGAATCCAGACATTAACACTGTTGAATGCTGGCTAAGCGGTCTAGAGGTTTAGTGTTCGAGCGCAAGATCAAAGGTCCTAGGTTTCGATCCTGAGTGTAGGGTCGTGGATCCACCATGATAGGGGGGCCCATACCAAGACGAAACAGCCTCCCAGGGCTTCCTGGCTTTTGCTAACGATTGAGCTAAGATGAGCTTGTGATTTAAACTTAGAAAATAAAACTGAAAGTATAGATTGATTGGATTTCGGTCAATCGCCCTAAAGGAATTATGCTCACAGTGAGACCTAAGGGTCATAGACTTAGTTCCATATAAGCTTCGTGATTGAGCACTATTGGCAGGTCCTCAATCAGAACAAAATAGTTGTTCGTATTTGACCCCCCCCCAAGTGATTTCAGTTGGTGAAGACTATTTACTGGAAACTTATTCTATGACTATGGAAATACTTACTTCCTGTCCGGCCAAATACAGTTCTATCTGAATATTCCTAATACTCATTCGTAAATGCTTTAAGCTTACTCGCTATTCTTAATAGATTAAGGGCATTTATGTAAGAAATTATATGAAATTAATCATTATAATAACTTCAAAATTAAACGTCCAAATATTTTGAACAGCAAACAATCTTCTTTTCATAGTAAGTAGAAAGTTTTCTACACAAATCTTGGTTTAAATTCGTAAAAAATATTTAATTACTATTTTTAATCAGTGATTTTCAATATGATCACCTAATTATGTTGTGTTTATCGGAGCTTATTGAGTAACAGTAGCAATCATTGATTATGTAACTTCTCGACACGAATGTTGCGTTGTCTTTCTTGACATTACTTGTTCTCTTTATTTACAAGTAATGAATTTGTTAATTTGACTATTTTATCCATATGTTAAAGTTAGGCTAAAAATGAAATTCCAATTCAGTTTTCAATCAGTTTAACACCTCTCCTTTTCTTTAACTTCGTATCAATTAAACTGTCAAATAAGTACAGTGTTATGATGTATAGTGGAGAATACCTGTAGCTTATGAGGAGGATTTTCGTGGAGCATTAATTGTTCTCATAGCTGGAGATGACTTATTTGCGAAGCTTTCACCGTCTTTCTAGGTAACATTATTGATGCAAACTTTGGATAGAATTGTAGATGGAGTTGTCCAGGAAAAGAAAATGGAAGCTTCACAACTGAATTACCCAGGTCGAAGAAATAGATTCTAAGAAAATACACAATATTTGTCCAAGTAAACTTTTCTCTATAGACTAAACATGGTTCGCAGCAAGCGATAAATTATTGTAACATAATACATATTATTTTTCAAAATAAAATCTACGTATTCTTACTGAAACATTTGCATTAATAGCAGCTTGTCGAGCTTCGACTTTATCACCCATACGTTTTACAACATTAGCCGGTGGTCCAATAAATATAATGCCAGCATCAGTGCAAGCTTGTGCGAATTCCGATCGTTCACTAAGAAATCCATAACCAGGATGAATAGCTTCTACATTATGTCTCTATGTTTGTCATAATAAGACAAAAAAGAACAATAGAAACAGAAAATGATTGTTTTTTAAAGAGAAAAGATGAAAGATAGGTATTGCGGTAGTCAAATTGTAGGAATAGAGAAAGAGCGTAACATCTATATACACACATATAATGTTACTTGTAATGATTCATTGATGAAGAGAACAAAAGAACAAACATGTATGCTGTGGCGAATTCTATTCATAAACATATGAGAGGTAGATGACAAATGCATTGATGAAGGTTGGAATAATCACTTTTCTCACAAAATAAACACAAATTATCTTTGTAAGTATACACAATACTAGTGACCTAACTTTATATATATATATATCGTGCTTTAATAATAATCTGACAATAGGGTGTAATTCAGAAAACACACGTACATAGTTGTATACTAGATTATCAACTATACTGACCATGTGATAGTTGATGATACTATATTGCTATGCATAAATTTCTTTAGATGAAATGATCTTTGGATGGTAACAAGTGGTTTGAAGTTGAATACCTTACACTACTAAATCACAGTATAATTCTAATGACAAATGGGACTGTGTAGATTTGTAGTTGAAGTAGTACAATTAAGTTAAAACGCACTAGTATATATCCATAAAATTTCTACGGCTAAAATCAAGATATAGTTTTTTGAGTGTATGAAATCCTAAATTATGAAAATATATTCAAACTAAAGATACTTTGGACTGACGAAAGTAACATAAGACTTGAAACAAATGAACACAAGTCCAGTGGATGACAGATCATGATTACACAGTGAGAAAAATATTATTATTATAGTAGTGGGAAACTAAGTTCATGTTCAGTGTTTAGAATGGTACGAGTGAAAGTGAAAGGGGAAAACTTCAGAACAAAAATATATCGAAGATCTAAAGAAATAAATGCATTATCGATATCGGCAGATTTTTATTCATACCAGCTAAAATCACTTCATGACCATGAGCTTTCATTCACTGACACCTTAATTAACTCACAACGTTTGTGTTATACTTGTATTCCGTTTAGGAGTGGAACGTATAAAGTGCGTTTAGTCTCATTTACGACTCATCAGTTGAACTTATCTTAATCTCGGTGTTAATATTCACATTTGAACTCGTGTTGTATACTGGGTAGTGCATCAGGAACTGAAACGATAGGTACTGGGTTCGATTCTCAGGGCGAACATCAACACTAGAATGTTGGATACAATCAACTGGCGATTACTAAACAAGACGAAACACAAATCCTAGATGCTACTTCTAACTACAATTCAGACATGCTAAAACTTGTGACAAAATATTATATCGAGGGTATTAGCTGAAGATATGAAAATGAAGACTGATCGATTGAAGTGTTAAATTTCAACAACGGGAAATTACAAACCATTAGCAATTTAATATAAAAAGTCAATTCAACGATAATCTTCAGTTATAATATAAAATGCCTAAGAACTAATTATCGATGGATGGATTGAACATTTCCAAAATGCGGTTAGTTGATGCATATGAGAGTAAACTGTATGAACTCAAGTATAGAAATAAAAAGAATTTAATCGATATGTAAATAAAACAATAATCTAAGGTCTATCAATACTACATAACCTTCAGAGATATTTAGTAGGATAAGTTTCATTCCTTGAATAGTTTTATTTGACTACTATTTTATATTAGATGTGTCTATGATTCATTTTACAAAACTGTTAAGTGATAAAATATCTCTTATCAAACTCAAAATAATATACAACTTATTTATGCATCCTAGTAGTCTTTTTTGAAGATTTATAAGAATGATTATGGAATTTAGAAAAATTAGTTAGGAAATCAAGTAATATAACTAGGTAAGCAACAAGAAGTCCATGTACTTGACTATAATTTCAAAAACGTTATACGAAGGATGGCGATAATGTTCATCTACTCAGAACAAAGTAGAAGTATGGTTCGAATATGTGATCTTGTGGTCAGAATCATCAAGATGGTAAACTTTAGTGAAAGATAAGACATTAAGGACAGTCAGTTAACATACGCTGATTCATATACCAATGGTCGTCTGAAATATAATTGTTTAATAATCATGGTAATTCTCGGAATAAAACAAATGCAAATTCGATAAAACGACAAGAATTAGGCCTAAGAGTTAAGTCTTTATTGAACAAAGAATGATCAAACTACAAACTGATTTACTTCAATAGCTTACGAAATTTTATTACGCTATTTTTGTGTTGATATTAGTATACAACCATATCTTTTTAATGTAGAAAAAACGCTATTCTGTCTAACGGTCTTGTTTTTAGTTTAAAATCATTCAGGCGCTTGCGTCGATGATTTAATCTCGTGAACACCCATAACACGACCACATCATGTTATAGCAGTGTTCATTCATCGATCAGCATTCTTTTCTTACATTTTGATACTCAAAACTCCCCTCTTCGAATAATAAAATCCTAATTGGATAAAACAAAAGTGAATACATGTGTATTGAATAGTTGTTGAACGTACTAGAGCTAGCTGTATGATTTCTGGAATATTAAGATAAGCAGCTACTGGTGGTAAACTTTTCCCAATCAAGTATGATTCATCAGCTTTTTGACGATGCATCTGCATTTTATCTTGCTCACTATAAATAGCCACAGTTCGAATATTCATTTCAGTGCATGCACGGAAAATACGGATCGCGATTTCACCTTTACAATAAAAAAGAGGTTAGGGTGAAAATGAGACTTGTTAAATAGAATAAAGTGGGGGAAGGAAATGAAAAAATGTGCGTGTTATTTCACAATAACAATGACAAAACTAGGATCGTTATTGTTACAGATAAAATGTGTACCTACAATTTCTTACCATCTTATGCTATCAACTAAAACAAAGGAGAAATATTAGATATCAGATGATCTAATTTATAGTCTCTGATAACTGGTCATAAGTTCTAAAATGAACAGTCGATTATTTAGAAATGTTAAAAAATAACAATCGAATAAAAAAGCAATGAGACTGGAAATAACTATCCCCAATGGTTGTTCATGTTTCCTGATATTTTATCTATATGACTAATGAATAAGTGAATATTTTCCACTAACTCCTCACCTCGTTCCTTTTTGCAATTGTGATGAATAATTAATGTGGCTCATTTACCAAGTTGCAGGGTTTATACTCAGAACTGAACCATGCCCTTATTGTTAGGCAGTAATTATACCATATGGATGTTAAAGTTCTCAGTGGATGAAGTGAAGTTAGAATCTGAAGTTGAATGGACAAAATGCAAGTGTTCCAAATACTGAGCTATCGATTTCCCCAAATCCTTATTACTACATTCTGGTCCCATTTTAATAAAAAAGCAACAAATACTGAGGAATGATTTGAATTCATTTCATATCATGTGCTCTAGATTTTTCAGATATATACTGATTTTCTTAAAGATAAGATGTAGCAAAAATGCAACGTTGTGTGGAAAACGCATTAAATTTTTTAAAAAATAGTGCATATTTGGAACATTTAAAATACACAATAAAAAATAAGTCCACGTCATCAGACATACTGATATTATCAACATAGAAACCGGCACAGATGTGTATTGGTAAAAGTTACCATGCTATATTAGCAAGATAAGATGAAATTAAAAAGACGAGTAACAAAAGAGATCGAAATCATCTAGTAGTAACGCTAATAAGAAAGATTAAACATTGGGAGTATGGTTTGAAGACTGAGTGAAAAGATATATGTGAAGGAATACTGGAATTCGAAGTCGAGAGTAAGACGAAGAACGAGATAATCTACTCTATTGCTGACAGTTCAAAACCTTATCGCTCAAAACCATGACCCCAGCTTATCTCCAACCTACTTTTACATCAGGAAACATTTACCATTAGGGTAGGTGGTAGCTTTGCATAATAACAAATTTTCCAATCACTTCAGTTATTAAAAATTCATATTTTCATCAACCGATTTGCTACTTTTCTTGAGTACCTTGTACCTAACCTAAGCGTTGCTCACTTGGTCGTTCCACAGAATTCAAGTAATGCTTTAAAGACACATATGATCAAAAGTCTACAACCTAAGCATGTCTTCTACTGTCATAGACAATGCTTCACTATCATAAAGTAGAACATAAAGGACTATTATGTAGTATATACGCCTTTTGGTTGGCAAACAGACATCTCGCCTATGAGGCAAGTAACGTAAGTTGGCGAAAAACAACTGGGCTTCCCGAATTCATGCTGGGATTTCGTCAGACACTGACCCATCAGGCCTGACTAAACTTTCAAGATAAGTGAAGTAGTCGACGCGCTTAATCATTGCACTTTCTATCATTAGTCCAGGCGTTGACAAAGTCGGTCACTAAGTAAAATTTTCATTTAAAAGGAGAGAAACGCAGTCTAAACATGCTATCATTGTTGTTTAAGGCCGTCAGAAGACTCTGCATTTATTCGTTTCCATCAAATGAAACTGTAATTTATAAATTATAAGTCGCTTAGTGAACATCCTTAAACGAGATAAAGTGAAAAGTTAGATAAGGAGTTCTATTTTTAGGAAGATATATGTTCCAAAATCAACTAAAAAAGCAATTAGTGGGAAACCCTAACGCATACAACTTGAGGTTGATAGTTCTGGTGAGTCTGCCGTAATCTCTTGATTGACCAACGGTACCTGAGTAGAGCGTAAGTAAGTAAGTAACCTGAGTAGAGAAACTCTACAAATTTTATGTACTTCTTTGGTACGCTCCTCGAAAATCAACTTTGCCACAAAACCTCCCAGTTAACAGATTTGAATGCTACTTCGAAGTCGAGATATACCATTATCATTGGACTTCAACAAGTGTGCGCGTGCTGTGAGACCTGATGAAAAGTGAATATTTGGTCAACACAGACCCTTCCAGGTCTCACACTAGCCTGTTTCCCCAGGTTCGCTCTTTACGAGCTAGAATTAGGCGTTGGATGACTATTTAGACTAATATTTTAGATACTGTATTAGTCAAACCGATTTCTCTGTATTTATCAGAAAATATTTACCTTTCCTTATGAACCACAATAACCAACGATCAGGATCAGTCAGATGGGATTATGTCCAGTTCTTAATCAACTTAACTGCTAGAACAGGAATATCATTCCCAAAGATCTCTGAAGTTAGGACATAAGGGCCTGCTGCTCCTCTTAGTTGTAGATAAACTCTACCTTTTTCAACCTCATCAACTTTCCGTGAACTTGTGTCAGGTCAACTGAGGATGTTTATCGTGCTTCGTAAAAGTTACTCAGGAGTGACTAACTTGTTTCATGTTAGTCCGCTTTCGACACGTTGCTGATGTGTAGTAACCATAGTCAAATCATTGTTTTATTAGGTTCTAATATGCTTGTTATAATTTACTCGTCACTAGTGCTCATAACAGTTTACTAGTTCAGAAACCAATAAACTTAGTAAAACTAGAAATCAGATGGAATAAGCAAATTTTGTTTCCAATCACTTCACGATAATGTTCGGCAAATCTGTCGCACATTTTGAATATATTTAAATGGAATATAGGAACCTGAAACATCACAAAGTTATAAACAATAATACGGTTTGACATACATCTATATGAAAACCTGGTCAATCAGTCAGTAGTCTTCAACATAGAGCATGGGGGTGGATATGGATTGGCAAACAATTCTGAGCTACTAACTCAGTCACCGACCACTGGTCGTAGTGATTCCTAAATTGTTATGCTAGTCGTGCTAGCAGTTAAGGGGAAGGTAAAGACATAGGAAAATAAAGAGAATAGAAGAAATAAGGGTAAATTATTAACAATTGAGTTTCAGTTAATTTAAACAGTGAGCCTGTTATACGAATGTCGTCGGACGACAGAAGTGGATAGGGTGTAAAAACACTCCTTGTAGTAACATCTCATTCCAGTTTTCCAAGCGAAACAGACAGTGAACCTCTATAATGAGATTATATAGCTCTAACTGATAATTACTACTTGTTCAAAATCGCTAAGCAAAGAGCACTTTAATCGAGTTCAAAAGCACCTCATATATTTTGTGAAACTCAGTAGAAACATGCCTTCAGTGGACCAGTAGGAAAGCTCGGAAACTAAAATTGCTATATATGGGGATTCAAAAAGTCTAAGAATTAATGATGGCCTTTCGCAGTTAATTATCGAAACACACGAATTTACGGACACTGGTAAAAACATATTGACAATATCAGGCAATCAATAACAAAAGTTACAAAACCTAAGTGTTTAAAGAGTTATATAATAAAATCTACCTCGATTAGCAACCATAAGTTTCTTGATTTTTCTCCCGGAAGTATTTTGCGTTGCACCGGTATCCGTTTTTAAATAGTACCGTAATAAAGGGAAGTTCTGCGATGTCCTCAAAAGCGGCGTTAAACGCCTAGAAGCCAGAAGAATAGTTGACGACATTTTAACGGACAGTAGATTTTTGGGCTATATCAGTTTCAAATTTCCTCGAAGGCCATCAATGAACTCGCAAAGCCTCAATGATCAGCGTTGACGCATTTAAACAACTCTCCGTTTAGACAAAAGATCATTTCGGTTTTTACACATAATAATTATTATTACTGCACACACAAACGTGTACGATTTCGATATGTTCACAATTGTTGCTGGGTAATACAGGTTGGAGTTATATGAGATGGTGGAGAATCTATATCATATCCAAGAAGAAAGCTATTGTGTAAACATAGTTATATTGGTCATATTAATTATCGCGCTTCCATAACTCCGACACCACACGTGATTGAAGATACCGTGGGTAACTTTCGATTTTTCAGGCTATAAAATGTGTACAGAATGGCTTAAAGATACGTTTTTATATCTTAAAAGCATATTATAAAGTTATAAAGCTATGTTTCGTCCATGTAATCTTATGCAACTTATGTATTTAACGGAATGATTCTTCAGCGGTAACATAAAAATTTTCTTATGCTGTCTGTTTTTGATTTGGCTGTAGAACGGATCACTAAATAAAGTACGTTGCGATCAGACAAATGGAAAGTTAGGATTGAAGATCAAAGTGCTACTATGCAACCACTTCAAATAAAATGCTCCTACCCAGACAAGTTTAATGCAAGGAATAAAAATGCAGTGAGTTACGTGTTTATTAACTTATACGTTTTGTCAAGCACCTTTCAGGTAAGTTGTCATGCCACGCTTGTGACCAGAAACTCGGTCGTTACAATACACGGGCATTCAGACATACAAATGTGTGACGAATTTTAGGTCAACCACAGATGTACGCCGATCTGAAAATGACTTGTTACGATGGTTCGGAACTTTTCATTCAAGAATCTGCACTTGATGTCAAAATCTTTGAACGAATTGTACCACTAATTAAAACCGTTCATCAACACAACGGAATTCGCATAAGTTGAAAAATATCTGCATACCATAGCACCGAAAGTTTCAACAAAACCATAAAGTAAACGAGAGATCACCCACAGTGGGTTACAGAGATCTCAGAAATGGATCACACCCTGTCACTATATCAACATAAATACGCACTTTGTGGGTGTGATATAACTTCAGCACTCATACAAGATCGTGTTTAACGGTTTTTTCAAGAAAATATCCAGTAACACAAATTCGGCATGAAATAGGAGCGGGAGAATATGGTTTTTCAGGAGCACCGGTATCAAAAGATAAGGATATTTTATAGAATGACGTTTTGGGAGATTGAAAAAGGTCTTGTGTTTGTCACTGCATAAATGCACATCGGAAAAATTGCTGAACAGACTATGGTGAACAAAGGTTTATCATGAAACTGGACACTCTTCAAGGCAAAGTTCGGCGAAGTTATAGAAAACGACTGTGAAAGGGGCACATGACAGATATATTAACGTTGATTGCACAACTGAGATACAAGTAAAAGTGAGTTTCAAAAATTGCGATGAATGCAAAGAACGGTTATAACGTACGACGTAGCAGGCCCCGGCTGATAGATTGGTTTAATGTTAACAAAAATTTAAAGGCACAAATTGGAAATCACCAGCACACAGGAGTGGATGAAGCAATACTAAAAAATGAGTCGAACGGGGAGAGAAATAGACAAAGCAAACGAACAAAACAGCATTTCCTACCTGTTTAAAAAGCTGTTCATGTTGATCACAGAATCACTGTTCTGAACCAAGTCAATTAAGAATTTTCAAAAATAGATTCCATTACGTTCTGGAAGATGAATTTCGGAAAAAAATGTGGACCGAAAAATAATCTAGGTTGTTTGGAGGTAATAATTATCACTTCAACGCACAGATGCACATACATATCTTCCCAGCTTTCCTGTTATACCAAATTGTTCATTAAAATGTGTTCACTCTACGGAGAAATTAGTGCAAAAGAAATGTTTCCGAGCATACAATAAGTGGATACACTTAATGTTTTTTTATTACAAACCGTTCTCTCCTGAGAATCCTACATACTACATGATTCTTCAAATTTTTTACCAGAAAATGTGTCCAAGAGCCGGAATTTGTGAAAGATCTCCCAGTATGTTCATAGATATCAATTCATAGTTTTAAACATCGTGTTAAGAAAAACGTTCTTTCAGTCATCAGCTCATTTGTAAACACCTCTGAGTGCACAACACATTTCCTTATCTCCTGATTTGTCTTTTGGTGTGAAGTTTTTTCTGCTAAATATAAGTTGATCGAGACGTTAGGAAACCTAGGTCTTTTTATTAGTGTACATTTCCACAATGGTCATAAACCTTTTGTAAATGGCATTGAAAGCGCTGTAAGATGAACAATCTCGAGAAACACAAATAATGTGAATTGGATTACGATGTTATAGGTTATGTTTTATCTGTCTGACGATTCCCAAATTGGACGATATATGTGTCCTCAATTCCATTGCTAACCACCATCAATCTCGGCCTTTCCAACGGTTGTTTTATAACAACCATAAACTTATAAAACATTTGCGTAGCATCGACACTTATCAGTATCACAGTTCTTTCACGCAAATGATACGTTTCGGCCAAATAAATAAAACGTTGCTAATTGTAGTACCAGATTTACTCCCATGTACATAATAAAAGCACAGCTTAACAATATGTTGTGGTTTACTTCCAAATGTGTATCCACAAAATAAATTAAAACTTATATAGATGAATAATAGTTTTTCCTGATTCACTGAGGGTAGGTATCGCCATTTTGAACTATATTTCTCAGTTCACCCAGTTCCATCTAGAATATGTCCAAAGGGGGAGTTGTAGCTAAGTTGCTTTCGTCGTTAATAGCTTGACGCAGATATCAGTTGACCCATGATTGTTTGGTGCCTGAAATTCTGAATTTGGTGTCCTAATATACAGGAAACTAACATTTAATGAACTTATTAGTGATCATCTCAAACAGTAGCCGAAAAAGCACGGGATTTCCAAGTAAGATTGAGTCAACATTAAACCTAAGCCATCTGAAGATAAGCTGGTGTTCTTGGTGTCTGTCCTACTGGCACACTTATCCACGGTTAATTAGACACCGTTAAAGCCACCTACAGTATTTCATAACATGAATTAAAGCACACTTGGGTGCCGCAGAAAAAGCTGTTAGTACCACAAGTAACTAGAGTTTTCCAGTGACGCTGAGTGATTCTAGATCAATACGACCCATGACTCTTTGACAGGATTATCAGCTTCGCGCACCTTAATATAACCTTTGAGGTAGTCTGAACATTTCCTTAAACTGAAACCACCGTAAAACAGAAGGAGTTTCTTAATAATCTTGTTTCATTAATTTGACGCATGCAAGTAGATCTCGCGAACAGTGCAAGTTTCTTCAGCAACCTGCATGATACATTTACCACTCAACTTCAAAAAATCAGAAGTCCGGTATTGCGCAGTTCATGCTGCATTCACAACACACTAGTGCACCGAATAGCAGTTGTCAAAAAAACTTGTTGACAAAATTAGTCATGAGGATCTGAGACAAACACTAATAAAGGTGACCTCTCAACCTGGAGCAGCTCGATCTATTGCTGGGGATCAGCAATAATTATGATAGCAGAGTGATACAACATCATGGAAAATTAACTTTTAGGACAGTGAATTTACCCTTTGATGTTTAAAAAAACAGAAATTTACAACACAGCCAAATCAGTACATTCCTTCATAGTGGATAACGATGAAAAATTTATTCCGACCAGTTTTAACTCGAACAAACGACACAAGCCCAATAGAAAGGAGTAAAGTTATAACATTTTGAAAAGTAGCAGCTCTAACGAAACTGAACGCTCAACATAGCAAAACTCAAAATGGGACACGACATCTAAATTAGTTAACAGTACGCCGGAAACGACGCATATCCGTTAGTGCATGGATCTGATCGTTTACCAACACTGATGGTGGAGAAATGTGATAACTTTTCTGTAACGTTAGAAACGTGATAGGGTAGAAACGACCCTTGATTTAAAATTATTGGTCGCTTGGTTGGTTGGATCAATACATTTAATTGGGCAGTTTCAGCTAGTTGTAAGCATACAGTCGGAAGATTTACTCCAGTCGTATTTCTAGCCATCTGATTGAGGTGCTCATCAAATTCTGCTTTAATATCCAGATCATCCTTTGTTTTAAATAGTCAGTCTGTAGGTCATTATGATAACAAACTTTAGCAACTGAAACGCGCCTAGGCAGAATGACAGTAATTACAAGACTATTTCACGCTGAATTCTCTTGAAACTACGCTAAAGAAAATTTCATACTCTAAAACAGTTGGCAATAGGAGTAATGGGGGATTATCTTCCACCTAATCCCTTGACAAAAGACAAAGGTTAACTAACAAATAATTAATGTTACATATATATTTTTAGGTGGTATATGGGCTCGAAGGGTCAAAGATGGTTTAATCACTTTGGGTTCTAATGAGGAGCCTTCATTTAGCGACTTTTCTTCAAGTTCAGATGCACCCAACATAACTCTAACGAGTGAATTACTTGTGAGGTTTTTTTGTGATGTTTATTATACCAGTTGAAACGTGGTTTATTTAAAGATCAATCATGTATATGCGAAGTTGATGTGTCTTGTCTGGGTTTGGAGGGCTTGGAGCCCGATCTACATCTAAAACTTACCTCCCTAAAAAAACTAGTTGCTGCTGATAATACTCTTTCTTTAGGTATTTCAAGTATTGTTGTTATGTGAAATTTTGTAGAATGTTTTGAGAAATTTAATAGTTTAGTGGAACTGGATCTTTCACTGAACCAAATCAACTCACTATCGAGCTATTCACATGGATTTAACAGTTTACATGTAAGCTTGTGTATATTTTATAGTCGTCTGTGAACTTAACAAATCTCTGTCTTTGTCCACAACTTCAGTTGAATACACTTTCAGTGGTAACTGAAAGCCGCATATGTATTTGAATCAGGATAATCAGCAAGGCTGATCTGTAGACTGGTTATGAGAACACTAGATT